TTAAGGTTAAACCCAGGTTTCCGGACCTAGAAAAAGTGTCCCTTTCCATTGAATAAGGGTGTCCCTTAAATACATGTCACAGGCACAAAGATTATGAAAACATTTTCCAGGACCAAATTTTGTGCCCCTTGAATGGAGGTGTCCCAAACAAGAGGTTCCACTGTAGTTTGAAACACTATTATCATCAAATTTATGGCAAATTACTTCCAGCTCCAAATACTCAGGGATAAAAATCACCTGTCTAAGAGAAAATACATATTTTCAGCTATTATATACTTGCCACTGTATTTTACAAAAAATGCATACCTAGCTTTCTAAAATTGGCTGACTCCACAAGTTTTTCCATGGCAGATGTAAGTGCACATACATCTTTCTCGAATTTCTGAGACTTTGCCCCACCTTTCCATGTTAAAGTACTTGTCCCAGAGTTGTGTCCATTTATGATTAGAGTGTCATCTACACATTTAGAAACTTTGCACAGTTTGCGGTGTTGATGTGCGTGATTATTTACACCAGCAGAATCAATTGTACATGTGCTATTTGATGATGCACTCTCAGTCACTGCAGTGATTCTTTCTGAGGACCTTTTTGCTGGTGCTTCCTCTTGTACATCTGGACAGTTGACAAATTCCTCAAAAACGTCTAAGGTTACTAGTCCTGAAAACAAGTTACAACACAAATGAAATTGTCTTATTCCAAAAGTATATCCACACCTCCCATATGGAAGAAATGTTGAGCTACCCCTACTTCTCAGGATGATCAGGACCTTCAGCTATATTCTATGCTATTCACCAATGTTGGATTTAACCTTTGGCACCAAATTTAAGGTGGCTCAATAGAGTTTTTCTCTGTCAATACCTCCTAAGTTTGAGCATAAACTATACATTCCCATTAACAAAGATTTGAAAAAATTACACATGACCGCTGTATTAGATAAAGATGACAATTTGTTATAATCAGGGTTACAATCTGATGACATCAGAACATTGAGGTGGCAATTGGAGGAAAAAGTTCCTGTGAACTATTTTGGAAGGGCAGACTGTTCCCAGTGCCAAGAAATACAGCTGTAGGTAAAATAGGTAATGGCATCACGTAATTGCTATGACAACTCCAATGTCATTGTAACCCTGATCATAACAAATTTTCATCTTTATCTAATAGAGCTGTGGTGGTAATTTTTCCAAATCTTCATCAATGGCAACATAGTTTATGCTTAAACTTGGGAGGTATTGACCCTGAAAAACCCTATCGAATCACCTCAATACTCCTGTGCCAACCTCGTTCCCATGGTTCTTAACTACCTGTTCCTGGAGAGCAAGAGAGAGATGCTATCTTGCTTCACTGGGACCGGGGTAGGAGACAACCCAATTTCCACCAGCCTTTGTTCCTCCCCGAGAGAGCACTTTCAGGGGGACGATTGGGGACGTCTTTTCTGAACAGCAGCTGGTAAACAAGCCAGAGCTATGCCTGCATGAGTCCCTCACAAACATTCTTTTTGTTATCGTTACTTTTACAAGTGCTCCTATACTTGTCACCACAGTCAAACCCCGCTTTACTGACACCTGCTTAATAAGGACACCTCATTACTACAGACATTTTCCTTTGTCCCTGGAAAAAGAAAACCCTTAAATTTTCTCTTAATTTAACCCACTTAACATGGAAACCTCATTACTACTAACACTTTCTATGTGACTTTCTCAGTGACTGTATTAAAAGGATTTTACTGTACCACAATAATAATTTGTAAATATTAATATTACTTTCACTTGTTGCTTTCTTGATCCAGTTACAGGCATCTTCTTTAACGGCTTCACTGTAAGATTCATCACCCTCAGAAATCGAGAGCCACTTCATTAAAACTTGGTCTCCAGTCATCATGTCTGTACTGTGGTTTGACCTGAGTGGTACACATTCCAAATTCTTCTTTGTATGTTGGGTGATGTTTTGCTCATCATCAGAAAAAGACACATAAAATATGAAAGTCATTAATCTCCTTTGTTCATTAATGCAATGTTTGATGCCAGCGACACCATGAAGGTTCAGTTTGATATCATCCTCAGTTCCCTGGGTAAAAAGAATAGGCACTTGAGATGGCCAAGTCACATCATTCTTAAAGGCACACAATCCCAATTTTGTGGTCTGATTGACACTTCATCAGTAGATCTTGGTCAGTGCTTGTTAAGTAATAATAGGAATTAAAAGACCACAAACAGGACACTTTCAATTTTTTTTAATGCCATAATCAGATGATAAAAATCGAATTCCCTATGTTTAGTACCAGCCTCTACAAAAACCCTTCCCCCAACAGATGGGAATCTCTGACTGGGGCTTTGAAAGTTATTTCTGAGGGGCCGGGGTTACTACATTGGAACAATTTACTCTGGAATATTTCTGAAGGGTATAGAAAAAAAGTGGAGGTGAGTGTGGCCGAGCAGTTAACACCTCAAACACCAGATCTGGAGGTCTGGGCCTCAAGCCTCGCCCATTATGTTGTTTCCTTAGACAAGGAACTTTACTCCACTTTGTCTCTCTTCACCCGGCCAGGCATATAAATGGGTACCAGCAACATACTGCTGGGGGTAACCCTGCAATGGACTTAAGCATCCTGTCCAGGGAGGAGCACCAATACTCCTAGGCATGCTTCATGCTAAGGAAACCAGGATAAGCTCTTCCCTATGGAAAATTTGAGGGGAGGAATGTGTTTAAGGAATGGGGTATAATGGACAGTTCCATTTGTTCTGATGAAAAGCTCACATTTTTCCCGTAAACTTAATCTGCTTAATGAGGACACCAGCATATATGGACAAAGGATACTTTTCTGTGTCCTCAGGCACAAAATAGCAAAATAGTATGATATGTTTGATATCCCCCTTCCTCTTTGTCTGCTTTAGTCTTTATATCAATACAATTAGTGTCTGGGAGTTTTTTTGGAGAGCCTGCTTAATACAGACACCTTTGATAATACAGACACCATAGCATGCCCCCTTGGTCTGCGTATTCACCAGGTTGCACCATGTACTTAAATCTCTCTTAATTAAATCACCCTGCACCCAAAAAGCATGCTGAAGTTTTCTACCTCAAAAATTCTGGAATGGAAAACTTCAAACCCACATCCTTTGATCATCCCCATCAATATTACACCTTTTGCTGTTCATTACGAGAAAATACGCAATCATTTGCGTCAAACGGCTACCAATAGTGAGAAGATACATTTGTAAAATTTGCAAAAATACCCAAACATTTCTGCATAAATCAGATTCAATTACAATATTTGCATTTGAATCAACATTCAGTAACACTTTTGGACATTCATATGCATCATTTGGCATACTACTATACTTTCATTAATGTCAACATCCAAGTCATTAACGCCACTTCAAAGTCAATAGGGACAATAGACAAACATTAAAGTGCAAAGACTATTCATTAACATTTTTTTGACGCTGTTTGCAATTCAATAGCATTCCAGGATGCCCTTTACGGATGGATAAGACAAACATTAATGCACTTGTACAATCAATTATACAAAAATCAATTTTCAATTAAACATACCAAATTTTAAAAAAATCGGCCTGAATTTTTTAACGCTACCTGGTATAAAGAACCACACCATACTGCGCCACTGTGTGTTAGTTGACGACTGCGGCTATAATTTACCATTTGAAAGGCCAGAAGTCATGGTAGGGCGTGACAGGGGGAGAGGGTGTACTACCAAGTGTGCGGCCAATGAGGACGAAACTTGAATGTGACCATGGTAATATCACCTATGAATGTTTTGCTCAGCAGATGCGGGCATAATGAATGCTAGGCGTTTTAGTTACTTCCTGGCACGGACAGATATGGATCCCGACAAGTGGGTGATCTTTGCGTATGAAGGAGTGACAGGCTACCAAGATCCAGCCCTTCCTGCTCCATACATACAGCGCTTGTGCTCCCCCCCCTCGACATTGTGGATCAGGTATTAAGCTGTCTGAAAGTGACAATCAAGGCTGACATCTCACGTCCAGAAATTCAAAGTTGTATGGATTACAGGAATGAGGCCAAAGCCCCACCCCACCAGAGGGGTTTGAACACAAAAGCTGCTTGAAGCTCTGCGAAGAAATCAGTGTGACCCCAGCTAAATGTGCTGAGGGGTACTATTTCATGCCAAAATCTTTAAATAGTGTCATAAAAATTTTTATGAATAGTATTTGCACTTTAATTTTTGTCTATTATATTACTGTTGACTTTCAAGATGGTGCTAATGACTTGGATGTTGGCGTTAATGAAAGTATAATTATTCTTCTCTTTTGTATGCCGCATGACGCATATGAATGCCCAAAAGTGTTACTGAATGTTGATTCAAATGCAAGAATCCTAATTGAATCTGATATATGCGGAAATGTTTGTTTTTTCGCGCTAACGACTGTAACCCTACACTATTGGTTGCCGTTTCAGGCAAATGATTGTGTATTTTCTCGTTATGAACAGCAAAAGGTGTATTGTAGTCTGGAGTACCCCCACCTCCCTCCCACATATTTACTTTTTTACCATGTTTACAAATTTCATTGGCAGTCTAAACAGATAACAGTCCAAGGGATCCATGCGTACAACTGTGTATAAAAATTTATATAATACAAACGTTGGATTTTAATATTGTCTCCACGTACACGCGATTGCTAATGTGAAACCGCAGACATTGCTTACCAACTGATTCGAACACCATCTCTGAATTTCTTGTTGAAAACTTTCGGTTTCCCTAAGAAGAAACCACGGCAATTCCCATTTGTTTTCATCCTTCCATCTCCAAAGGAGAATACTGTCATCATCGTTCCTTTTCAAGATAATTTCAACTTTAAAACAGTTCATTAATTGGCTTTCTGCACAGTCACAATCTGAAGCCATATTTTTAGCCACATCATCGACGAAGGACGTGCTAGTTTGAACTGTCAGTTTTCTTTCAAACAGACTGGAACGAGTGATCAGACCGGAAATGCAAAAATGAAATCATTTGGCGGGAAGTCTGCTTCATCCAACATGGCGGCAAACTCCAGGAGAAGATACCACATTTTGTTATCGTCTTTTACCAGCGAGGAGAAAGGAAAGTTGTCACAATCCATTCAAGAACTTGGTGGGACTTATTCAGATACGCCGGTAAGTTAGAAATCTTTACATGGTCGTTTACTAAACGGACAAACGATTAAGCTTACCATTTGCGCGCCTTGATCAAACATCGCGCGCTTGATTTTTTAGTCTCTGGGAGTAAAATATCAAAGAAAGTAAAGGATGGTTTGACAACAGTTGGACTAACGAAGTACCCTGAACGCCTTAGAAAAACAAAAAATGAAAAACTACGCTTTACCAGTCCGTTCTGTTGCGCTTCTCGGCATTATTATACAAGCTTGTGCTGTGAACCATTTGTTACGTTTTATGAGGCGGCCGTGCATAATGGCGTGCATTATGTAAGAGTGCAGCGAGTTGCATCTCTCTAGTTTAAAAATAGTTGGCAAAAAGTATCATCTGGAAGCTCAAGTTATTGAACAACCGAGAGTATTTCGATGTCATGTAGTATTATGATTCATAAACATGTATGAGCAACGCGCGCAGTATGAAAGAGCGTGACCCCGGAGCGTGACATTAATTTTGAAAATACTTTGCTCCTTTTTTTTTCTCAGCACTTTATTCGAAGTTGTTCACATGTGATCTGTGGTAAGCCAAGTCGAGGAGAAAAGTTCCTTTGTGGCTGTGCATCAGGTACAGGCTCTAGTTATAAAGCTTCTGGTAAAAAGAAATGTGCGCGCATACATGCACGCTGTTGTTGTTGAATTAAATATTATGAAAACAACTGTCCATTCATGAATATTTTATCATTGTAGCTCTCTCCTCCGCAGAGGGGAGGCTCCCGCTTGGTATCCCAATAAAAATAGCAATAATCAAAAAATAGAAAGTGGACAGGGGAAGATGGTCTTTTCTTTTTCTCTGTCTCTAGCCCTCTCTAGAGGCCTCTGCTGAGGAGAGAGTCATTGTAGAAAGACACAAATACAATATTACTACAGACTCAGTAACCACCAAACCATGTTACTAAAAGGTAGCATTGGTAGTTGCCAGAAATCTGTTACAGTGGAACCTCGATATAACAAACCTTTAAATGACGAAGTCCTTGGTTTAACGAATGATTTTCTTTATCCCAGTGATAGTGAAATATTGCTGGTTTGTACATGATGTCATGGCAGCCATGTTGGTGGTCAAGAACAAAAGCTTTCCTCTCCTCTGGGAACTAGACTCTATTTTCATGTAAATTCTTCGAAAAAAATTTCTATTGTATTGACCCCCAACATTGCTGCCTTGTCACATGGTTGGAAACCAAGAATATGAAAAAGAAGCTCAATGTAATGAAACCTTGTCATAGTGAACACGTTTTGCCAGTCTCTTGACCTTTTGTTTGATTGATGTTCTACTGTATAATGCTTATCAGAAGGTTGAAGAGAGTTGTACGTATAAAGACGTTCCATTTTTTATCCCCCCGCCCAAGATGATAGGAATCTGAAACCTCAAATTTTTGTCAGTGTTCTTTGAAAAATTGAATCTGAAGGGTTTGTTCATTGTTGGCACCTTTAATAAAAAAAATTTTTCTGAAGAGTCAAAATTTTGTCAGATTCTTTGAAAAATGTATCTGAATCCCCCTAATTTGAAGACCCAACATCCTTAGGGTGGGGGTGCAAATAAGAAATGGAACATCCCATACAGTACAGTGCTGTACATGTACATATACGTCATACAATGTACATAACAGCTAAAATAGTTATTGAAGGAATAAGATACTCCACATGTACTGCAATCTGGTGTAGAAAAATTGGGTATCATAACTGTCACATGTAGGCTGTATAATAAGATACTGCACATGTACATGTATTACAATCTGGTGTAAAAGAATTGGGTATCATTACTGTCACATGTAAGCTGTATGTAGTTAGCAAACTTTGAAAAGAAGGTTACTTTTGTTGGGTGACTTGGGTTGATGAAGGCCGATAGAATGTTTTAGCCTAATATCAAGAGCTAGAGTGGCTGATCTGGTGAGTGTTGAAAAGTGTCAGATAGAAAGGGCTGTGCAGGTGGCAGAGTAAGGGCCTAGTTATATAACATGATCCAGCTGACTTGGCTGGGAGGTGGGCCTGCCCGCCTTTTCATGTATAAACACAATTACAATTTTTTGAGAAAACAAGCCCAAGAACCAAGCAAGCCAGTAAAGCAAGCAAGCTCGGTAACCTGGCGGCTCACCTCATACATTTATAAACAGGCCATAAGACACTGCAGTTTTCATTTAGTCAGTGCCATGATGTAAATAATTTACTAATAGTAATACTAAAATTAGTTTTGGAAATCATTGAACGAAGCATATTATTCAAGATTATGTAGCAATGTTATACACATGTTTTTAAAGCACATATGAATTCCAGGTAAGTGGATATTAAAGTGCCAGTTCATTGAGGACAGCATTAAGGCTGGAAGGTGGTTGGAAGAGAAGTTGTATGAGTGGAGTGAACAAGATGAAGTAGATGGAGTCTCTTCCAGTCATCTTGCTGCTCCTGGCCGCTGGAGAAGAATTCTACAAGAAGAGAGAGGTCCGTTTGATGGATGGAAAGCACTGGTGGCCGTGGCAGATGCTAAGAGAAGAGCCGCATACAAAAGGCAAGCCACAGTACACTGTGTTTTATATTTTAATACCTACACTGTAAGAGAAGCTGTACATGCATACTGGTTTCCGCCATTTAACAAAAATATTCTCAGATTTTCGGCAATATAAGGATTAATCGCATTCTCATACCGTGAGAAACAGTTTCTGGCTCTGAGATGTGGGCTTCCACCAGTTGTAGCTCACTCCTAGATGGAAATTAATCCCATGCCTGGCAAATACTACAACCCAGCCTGAGCCCCCACGTGATAGGGGAAGAGAACAGGTCCCTGTCACACTTATAAACAGTGGAAAGAGGGGGAGGCCTACTAAAAGAGCTTATACAGCTCTTTTAATATTGCTAAAGAAATGCTCACGCTTGTGCCAAATACTACAGCAAACTTTGGTTTGTACATGGAGTCCTGGCACATGCACATGGTGAAGTATCACTGACCACAAAGGAAGCACGAAGTTCCTCATTGTGAACTCTGCTAAATTCCATATAACCATGGTATGAAGCAACTCAAGATTACATGTAAATGTGAATCTTTGCCTAGGTTGTTTTGTGCAATTAGGCCCTTGTATATGTAAGCAATGTAGACACATAGTGCAAACTGTATTATGTACAGCTGTATCCCAGCATAGCTGATGCATCCTACAGTACATGTATGTGTATTAACTTGAATAAAAATATCTGATGCTAGATCATTAGTTGATTGTACATGTATTTTCTGTCACCACTGTTAGGTTGTTAGAGGTAGGAGGAGCTGTGATGGTGAGTGGGAAGCCACCGTACCCATCCAATCTTGCTTCAAAACTGACACATGTGTTTGTGGAGAAGGCTCTTGAAGATGATGTGAAGATTTTACAGAATGCTGGAGTCCTTTGTCTTTCTCCTGATTATATTCCTGAATTTATACTACAAGTGAGTGCTTGATACTTTGTCTTAAGTGAAGGGGGAAGAAATGATATATTATTATAACTCACCTGTTCATTAAGGAACACGGAATAGGAACCCTCTGAATGATTTCAACGTTTTATCGGGGTTGGGGGGTTTCATTTACTAACCCACGATAATTACACAGGCTCGGGCAAAATCAGGCCATACACCACAAGACATCCAGAGGGTCTCAGCTATTTGTGGCTTGGTATCTGAGTTTTCCACACATCCCAGGGAGTGTTGCTGTTTAGTTGAAGTCTAGTCAAGCTAATAAAACAGAATGCATAGCCCATTAGCCTCATGTTTGATTTTAAATGCTAGGACCCTGCCCCTCCTGTTGCAACATTTTCCATCACATCTTACAAGTCTCCAGTTAGAAGTCTTCAGAGGATCACTGGCAAACTCAAGAACACTCCTATCCTGGGTAGTGATGTCACTGAGTCAAGAATTGGAAAGCAAAGTAACACACATGCAATGTCAACATCTAGAAAGATAAAGGCGTCATCTGTATCCCTAGGTCCTACTGAACCCCCAAGCAAGAGACAAAAGCAGGTACCAGTGAATTCATAAATAGAACCTTACCTATCCTTTAATCACCTCTGTGGTATTGGAAGCTACAGTTGTTTTAAAAACAGCCTTGAGGGTCTCAAAGGTTGGTGTTTGGCCGACACATACTATAGGGCCTACACATACAGGGGTAATCACCTCACCCTGTCAAAACTCTGTTAATTAAAGAGACTTCTCATTTTGTGTTCAGCTTTTTTTACCAGTAATACAAATTATTGTATAAATGCCATGTAGTTGCCAAATATAAGGTCCTGGAAAATGCACAGTTCATCCATGGAAATCCCACTATTTACATGCTTTCTTTTTGCAAAACAATCTACCTGACTGTACATGACTTGTATGCTTTTTTAGGGCCTGGATTCCAGTTTCGTAAATTACAGATGGCAGCCCAGATTGAGCTCACGTGTGTTTAGTACAAGCAAGGTACATGTATGTGAAATATAATAATTACGGTCATTTTAATAATTTATTACAATGTCACTGCATTTTACAACTGTCAAAATATTGTCATTGCAGTCTCATTAAGTGCATATGCTTTTACACCACCCATGTGTGTGTTTGTTCAGTTATTTCATGCATATACAGTGCAATTGTACATACAACTTTTTTTCCAAAATAAGTATGCACCGACAATATCATTAATTTTTCTTTATAGGTGTGTGGAGATGAGTTTCCAGCTTATGTTTTAAACTCAATTGATGGTTATGTGGAGGAATCTCACCAGTCCACTGTCTTGGATGCCATATCTTCTTTTCTAACCTCCAAGCGGTATCCTCCTCCACGACTGCTTCACACCATCATGGACATCCTTTTGGTAAATAAATTTGACTGCTTGTTCTTGATTGTACATTATATTAACCTTTGTAAGGGTATATAATTAAAACTAAAAAATACTTAGCAATTATTGAACAAGGCTGAGTAGGATGTGAAGAATTATGCAGATCAAGGTGGATGTAATCCACCAAGGCGAAAGGCCAAGGTTATGGTTGATAACATCCTTCGACATCTGCATAATTCTTCACATAGTAGAAAGCCAAATTCATTTTTTTATTATTATTCATTTATTCTTAACAAGCTTACCTCCTCATAGAATGTCTCCTAAACTTTGGCCTATTCTTGGCACGGTTTCACAGTATAAACAGATACTCCTCAAAAAGTAGATAACATCCATCAACCAAATGTTTTGCATTTTCTTGCAGCATATGGTCAGAAATTCAGCTTCATTTTTGCCTTCAGATAGCCGTGATTGTCATTCTTTAGTTCACTGTAGGCCGCCACGCCTGGAAGAGAGGTTGATTGATGGTCTATTGCCTATGCAGCCCTCTTTCCAGGCAAATAATTATATGCAATGTACCATCGATCAGCCTCGCTTCCAAATCAGTATACATGTACCATTGAATCAATGTATACAGCATATTGCTTGCATCTTCCAAATTTGGTGAAGGCCGGTTAGTTATGAGAAAATAGCCAGGAGACTTAAAGCCAATCAGATAGTAATTTTTGCAAGTGCTGCTGTTGATTGTCTGAAAAGCAGAGATAATTAACTTGATAATGAAATTATAAGAACTTCTTTAATTAAACTAGCTTCAATGAGACCACATTTCAACATAGTTTTTAGTTCACAACTGCCTTAACAGTGATTTCACCCAGCTTCCTTTTGTACCTATAGCTGTAGCCAATTCCCATGAATGAATTCTGTCCCAACAGTTGCATGTGTTGAATACAGCTGTAAGTGCTAATCACACTACTGCTTCCACTTGCCAGTCCATTTTACCATTCTGCAGAAGTCTGCATACAATATGCTTAAGTATTTATAATTTCCACTTATACATTATCTGTAAGTTTCAAGTACATGTACAATTCATGTAAACTATGACGCCCAGGTTCTTTTGAGCAGACCTCTGTTTCAAAGAGGTGTTTATTGTACTTTAAATACTTGTATATTGTAATATTTTTCAGAAATCGTCTTCCGCCCAGGCTGCTAAAGCTTTTCTGTTGCTCCAGCAACTCCTGGTATTGCATCCGCCATCTCACAACACGGCCTCTCTGTACCAGTCCATGCTCAATGTACAGGTTAATTCCCATGTGACTTCAGTAGAGAACATTGGCTATGAGTGGGAATTTTTCAAGTCACTCTGCAGGTACCAATTTAAGGTTTTTTCTTATGAAATAGACCTGGTGGCACCATTTTTTTTTCTCATGTTTTTGTAATAATTTTTGTATTTTTTGTTTACACTTTCTTTTGTTTTTCAGTAAGAAGGATCAAAACAGCCTACTCCTGTTACGGTTTGTTATCACAACACTCCAGAGGGATTTCCATGATCGTACCTGTAATAGGTAGATTGATATACAGTATTTCCTTCCACTTATTTTACTAATACATGAATCTCCTGACTGTGACACAAAGTTCTTCACCCTGTTTTTGTCTATACTGCTGTAAAAAAAGTTATGCTTTGTAATAGAAGAAAACATAATTATTTTTGGCCCATCTTTCAGCATGTTATCTGCTGGTGAAAATTTGGATGCCCTTAAAAAGTCTCTGCTGTGGTTAATGTTTTGGCCAAGCTCATCCACAGTCTCTTTCAATACACGCCTGCGAGAGCTGTTTAGACTAACATGGAGTGCTTGCGATGACCCAAATCAGGTTAGTGACAAGGACAAATGCTTCAGTACTGGTATCTGTTAAACTGAATGGGTGAGTGCTTGGGTTTTTTTTAAAGGGGAAGGGAGCTGAGGGATGGACCTGTCAGTTTCAAAATGTTCCTTATACATTGTACATTTTTAAACTTAACATTTTTTATTTCAGGTTTTTTTAGTGCAGAGTTTGCAAAGTGTTGTCTCCATGGCATCTGAGTACTATATCCTTACTGACCTGGTGTCATTTAAGTGTGATGAGGTTGGTTTGGGCAGCAGGTTAAGCGAGCGCTCAAGAACCTTTGTGACTGAGCTGGCCTATGGAGGGACACACCATGAAGCTTCTATGAACCATTTCTTAGAGACATGCTCCCCCTGGCTTCAGATGCATGTGGCTGAAATTCTCCTAGCAAACTACACAGATCTGTCAGTACCTTTTGAGAAACGCCATTTAAAAAGCAAAACTTTATCCTTAGAGAAAATTGTAAGTAGCACAATATAGAATCAATCAGCTACTAATAAAAAAATTTATATATTCATGATTTTGTACAGCTATGATAATTGCACAACATTTGGGGAGTATACTTTTTTCCTTTGTTAGGTCTGTTATCATTTCTTTTTGGCGCCAAGAACAAGTGTTGACGATGTTACCCCTAATGTTGCTAAGGGTACCAAACGCAAAGGAACTCCACTACAGGATATAAAAAGGTAAGTCATATGGTTGAAATTCTAACTGTTCAAATAATAAATTAAACTGAAGACTAGCTGATTGGATGCATCAAGGTTCTGTAGGACCCCACAAACTCCTTTGCTCTATGGCTGGGCTAAAATACAGGTCACTTTTCCACAGGTTAGAGTACAGGTTATTACAAGTTATACAGATAAATGAACAGTATTAAGTGTCTCCTAACCCTAATCTTTAAACAAAAATAAAATTTCCTATTAGATCAAGGGAAATCTGTGTGGTTTGGTAATTTAGTGTTCGCGCAGTGACCTGTACTCTTGACTTGTGGAATGTGACCTGTACTTTAGATCCACCACCATTTTGCTGTGAATATATACTTTAGTTCTAACTGCATTCACATTCTGCTACAGTGAGAATGGAATGCGTTTATTGAGGCTTGGCCAACAGTTTCATGTGCAAATCACTGTATTTCATCATCCCCAAGCCTTGACTTGGTTCCGTTGTTTACAGGAATGTAGGAAAGGGTTGTTGATTGATTGATTAATTTGATTGTGTATCACCATTTTAGTTAACCCATCTTCTTTTCCTGAATTTGAAGGCTTTGTTCATTGTTTTTAGGGACAACTTAAACATGAAGCTGAATGACGTCACTGAAATTGATCGCCGTAATATTAAAGGTATAGTTAAGAAGATTACAGCTTTTGATTGTTTCTTGACTGCTATGTTTATTCTGGTTCTGCTTCTTGCTTACTTAAACTATACGAAACTTTGAAACTCTCCATTGTAGAAGAGTTGACTACATAGTATATGTAGCCATGTTTTGTTTTGTATCAGGGTACCCTATTCCACTGACAATATCATTGTTTCCTTGCTTTCCCAGTGCTGACTTTCCATCCAAAATTTAGTTTTTATTGAGAAGTGAAGATTCTGATGAAGGAATGTTTTTGTGTGGTTCATTGTTCTCAGGTGAAACAAAGCTGCATGTTGCTTGCATTAAAAATGATGCTGTAAAAGTGAAACAGTTGCTTGCAGCAGGAGCAGATGCTAACATCACAGATCATGCAGGGTGGACACCCCTGCATGAGGCCTGTAATCATGGTCACGTGGAGTGCGTGCGAGAATTGCTAAAGGGGAGGAGGCTTGTTTATGAAATAAATGCTGAGGATGGTATGTACTTTTCAAGAACTGGTTATACCATATTAGTTCAAGTAAGGGAATAATGTTGAGTTGTCTTGGTGAAATGGCATGCATCTCACTTAATTACTTTCCATATGAGCAATTACCACCACTCATACAACCAGACTGGATACAGATACTGTCTGGGTAGAGCAAAACAGACAACCATTGGTTTGGGAATCAAGAACACGGTAGATTGCATGTAAATTGCTTAGGCCCCATTTTTGATTAATGTTGGTGACCTCACAGGCTCTACTTGCTGCATATTTTATCCCATAAATGAAATGCATCAAATGGAATTGGCAAGGAAAGAAGATATCGTTCATTGGCCCACAGTCAATGACAGACGTTATGGGCATTAACTTATTCCATTACTCAGTTACTCTTTAAAAGATGGCATAACAGTTCCTTACTATACTACTACATCTTATTTGTTGTCTCCATTGTGATGTGACTTTGTATTTCCTTGCTTTCATCCTTTGGAGCTTTGTTTCTTTTTTGCAAGTATTTCCAAGTAATAATGCAGCCTAATGCAAGCTTAGGACAATTTTGTTTGTTTTTGAGTTGTAATTGCTTCTCTGTGTTTAAAAGATTCCTGCCGTGTGCTTAATGTACTGGCAGCTCCAAGGTGTGGTACAACGCCTCTTCATGATGCTGCTGGCAACAATCACATGCAAGTGGTCAAGGAGCTTGCAGCTGCTGGAGGTTAGTTGCATACACATTACATTAATTCAGGGGAGGATCCAGGATTTTTTTTAGGAGGGGGGTGCAATCATCTCCTACTCTACTTCAACACCAATAAACCACATAGTTTTTTTTGCAGAATACCAGTTGTATTAGAAAACAGCAGGTCATCTCGGGGGGGGGGGGGGGGGGCCCCCCCCGCCCCCCCCCCCCAGACCCCCCCCTGGAATTTTTTAGGAAAAAAAAAAATTAATTGAGGTCGGAAAGGGCACCGCCTGAACCCCAATCAAATCCAGAACCTGTATGCCCGTCTTCGCTTGCAAAATAAAAAGGAGTGGGGGCGGGGGGGTGGGGGAGTGGTATTTCAATAATAAATTACATTGGGGGGGGTGGTATTGTCTTGTTTTTGGGGGGGGGGTGGCCACCCCACCCCACTCTCACCCGCACACATAAAACAATATTTTTTTTTTTGGGGGAAAAGGGTGGGTAAAAAAAAGACGGGGCCCGGGGGGGGGGGGGGGGGGGGGGTGCGCACCCCCTGCACCCTCCCCCTAGATCCGCCCCTGTAATCTTTCAGGAATAAGAAAATCTACTTGAGGTGATGCTGCAGCAACAGAAAAGAAGAATACATTGTAGTGTATCCATAGATGGCGGGATAAACAATACTCCTTGATTTTTCTCTTATCCTTTCATCTCCAAAATATAAATATTGTAATATTGTTGATGCAAGGAACTAGGTTGCCAAATGCTAAATCAATATTGAAAGGTGTGTCACTGCTGCAGCAGCCTACATGTAGTGATCCTTGTCTTACATGGACCTTAAAAAAATAAGTAATCGTATTAACTTTATACTTTCATTCTTTAAAGGCATACGTTTGCTGGAAGCCAAAAATAGTACTGGAAAAAAACCATTGGATGTAACAAAGGATAGAAAGATTACAAAATTTCTTCAGTCCATGGAAGGAAACAATGCCGATTCATCATTTAGTACACATTCTAATCAGGTGGCCTCCAAGTACACTACACAAGAGTGTGAAGAGTTTCTCTTGATACTGTCTCATTTAGTGCAGTCATACTTCCGGGTCACAGGGTACCCAACTGACAACCCACTTTGGACAAACTTCAGAGAGCATGTTGATAATTTAGAGAGTCATTTGACTTGGATGTTGAAAGACAATCATCTTTCATCAGCTCTTAATATCAGACTTGCTACCCTGAGGATGTTGACAAATACTTAAACCTACAATGCTGTTTGGTTGGTTCGTGTTCTTTATTTTCCCTTTCTGATTTGGATGATTTGTTAAAAAAAATTCTACAGATTTTATTTCTTGTTGAGTTTTATGGAGATGTGTCACCTCAGGTCAAAGGGATTTGCCATGACTTCGAAGACTGATCACCTTGCAAGTCATAAAACAAAATTGCAAAATATGCCAAGTTGCTGTAAAGAAGGTAATTTTTATGTTGTATGAATTATCAAAAAGCTATTTTGTTCCATTACAAAGTGTTGGAGTTACAAACAAAAATGCTTTTTAACCACAGAGAGCAGTGGTATATTTTACAGGATGTAAAGATAAGCCCCAATAAAAATATATTAAAAGTAACAGTTTCGGGTTTTTTTGTTATTTGTTTACTAGTGGCTTATCCTTGGTGTAAGAACCTGTAGAACTCATGTGTGATGTAAAACAAAGTAGTCAACTCAATAGAATCTAGGAAACTGCAAGTTGCAAAACCAAGAAAAAAGAAAAAGTTCACGTTACTAGTTCTTGCAAAATCCAAGTTTAGCTCTTCCTTCCTACCTACCTTTTGGCGACTATCTTTGCTTCAGATCAACAATAAAGACTCCAGACCTTTCTGCTATTAAATAAATACTTGAAATTTTTGCCAACACCCTCAAAGGTATCAGGGGAAAGTTTGGCCCTCAAAGTCCATTTAAAGGTTATTATTTTGATAACACTCTTTGTCAGGCCACCTGGAATCTAATAAAAGGATTTGTTGAAATTTGATTATTCATAGAGGATTAATACAAGAGGGTAAATTTTAGATCAGTAATGGAGACTGGAGTGCTGCAAGATCAATTAGGGAAAAAAAAGATATATATGTATAATATTTAACAAATGGGTTCCATGTTGCTGTGCGTCTGTTCAGTAATAGATCACAGATGACGTCAAAATGTGGTAAAAACAAAGAAGTGGCACACTCACCGCAGGCGAGGAGTGTGTCACTGCTGTTTTTAGGTATTCTCAAGTTGTAAAGAGCTCTTTTTCTCTCCTTTGTTTTCTCTTTCTTTGCAAGTATAATGTAAAGGCCATTTTGAAAACAATATTTCAACGTCTCAAAGAACTCCTCATTGATCACTTGTGAAGCATTTATTCATGTAACGCATTACATTATTTAATCATGTGACTTATATACAAAACAATCTCTCCTATTTCAGACTTAATGTCAATGCATTGAAATTCACTGAAATAGTCATGAAAAATATATACAGGTGAATTACTCCTTCCTTCATGGGTAAGCATTTATACAGCCCTCGCTGAGGATGGTGTAGACAAGGTCACCTGTTTTTGTTCATACTCAGTGTTCAATATCTCCATCTTGTTTAGTGTGGTTTTACTTTTTGCTTTTCTAGATTGCACCTCTGAGTATGCTGGTGTAGAAAACTGCAAAGTTTTTGTTGAATCTAGTACCTCAAAAGTTCTCGGTGAATGCCTTGAGCTGCCTGCACTTCCAGAACGTTCATTTGTGCTTTTCAGTGAACTTTTTGATGATGAATTACAAACGTCTGTTTGCTTTGGTGAAGACGTTCGAGTGCCGTGCAAATGCTCCTCTGACCTGACAATGGAAGAACTACTCCCCTTGCTAACTGGTCTCCCACTCTTTAGACGTTGTTCCAGATCTGCTTTAGGCAGACTGCATGTGGAAAGTCTGTTCTGGCTGTGTCGTGCTTCAGTCTTCCCTTTAGCATTTGGTCTAGCATTTTCTGCTTCTTCATATTGTTTCTTGACAATATTCTTTTGTTCTCTCAGCATTTGGTGTACCTTGTCATCAGACTCAGACTTTTCCAGTTCTTTATCCGCAGTAGGGGACATTTGTCTGGTTTTGGAGGAGTTATGGCTTACTGACTGCTTTGACAAGGTGGTTGAAGAAGTACTTCTTATCCCTTGAGAGACATTCATTTTCAATCCTTTATCTTTTAACTCACTCTTCGAATCCTTTGGTGTCAAGCGTCCTTTCTTCTCTGCACTGGGCACTCTTGATGAATGTAAATTTCCTTCAGAGCTTGCAACTGACACCTGACCATGAGACAATTTGCTGCGTGGTGTTGGTGACTTTGTTGCATCAGACCCCCTTAAATCATACAGCGACAGTGACTGTTTCCTTGGATGTGGCCTGTTATCACCTGTGCTTGTATTTTCTGGTGGCACTTCTACACTTGACAAGGGCCTCTGGCTGGATTTACGACCCTTTGAACTCACTGAGGCATCTGTAGTTGAACAAGTACTGGAAGGCCTACTTTTTAAAGGTGTGGCTCTGTGTGAAGGAGAATCCCCTGCTCTCAAGTTTGATGCAGAATTACTTATTCTGGCATTTGAATCAGGTGTGGAGTGAAGAGGTGATTTTCTTTCATTGATTGAAGTCTTGCTGCATTTACGCTTAGCCTCCACAGTAACCTTTTCCTGAGATCTTCTTGCACTTGGAGATGACTTCAAGCTGCCAGAGCTCCTTTTCACACCACACTGGGACTGTTCTACTCCATTAATCTGTCTGGAATCAATTTCAGTGTTCTCATCTGGGAAGACAGTCAAATGACTTGGAGCTGGCGATGAACTATTCACTTCAAAATTCTTGTCTTCCTTTCTGCCTGTAGGGGATGAGGCTTTCTGAGTGATTTGAGAGATGCCATTTCTCATTTCTCTTTCATTAAGGACTGCTGTTGAGCTGTTGGAACTCTTTTGACAATCATTATTGACTTTTACTGCAGCATCTGTTAGAGAGCCCATGAACTGGGCTTGTTGCACGAGACCTGTAACGGAAGGGTGGTTTCAAAGATCAAAAACAACAATATTAGTTGTGTTGAATTGCAAATTAAATTTATGTTTGTTAAGTCATTGTATCCTCACCACACACCAACATAAATTCACCACATCTTTCATTTAAGGTATATAAATGGTTTAATACCATTAAGGTCTCACAGACAGTGGACCATTGTGCTGTTCTTATGAAGTACATTCTTTAAGGAGTAGCAGTATACATGTACATGTATATTGGGATCAAAATAATGGTCCCAAAGCAAACCAAGTTTTTTCTATCTTTGCAATTTTAAATCCTAAGGGTCTTTTAGGTCTTAAGATCCATAAAGCATTTTGTTCTTGAAACCATTTTTATATTCTTGAAATGTGGTACTTTCTAGTGTTACTTTGAAAGGAATGAATCTGGCAAATGGCCTTAATGTTCATGTAGTTACCTAGCTCTGCAGTAGGTGAGTTTGTGGTAGGAGACTGTGTGTTGTGAGGCTTAGGACTCTTATCTGGAGATGGCACCGTTTGAATGAGACTCAGCTGTGACTGGAGAACCTCAGCAATGAAATTATCAAGTTCTGCCTCTAAGGCAGAGGACTCCTGTTGGAAGAAAAAAGTGAACTATGTGAATCTCTCAGTTCTCTTAGAATCATGATCACGATAGCCTATGTTCGATATATTAAAATCATTATTCTAACACGACTCCGAGGCTTACTGGTCATTTTTCTATATTTGGTTTGGTTTTCTTTGTGCTCAAGTTTTTACGGCAAAGAGTTTGCTGGACTGTTGATTAATGGTTTCGCTCTAACCTTTTAAGTCCATAACTTTACATAAAAGAAAATACTACTACTTCCTGTATTTATCACAACTATTAAGTCACTTCTAGAATATTTAGTTACCTGAATGTTATCTACAACAACTCCTTCTCTAATGGTGGCTCCCTCCTTGAGTACCTCCTTCGTGGTCACCTCATTCACTGGTGACTGCTCTCCTGTTTTATCAGCAAGACTTTTAGCTTCCAAAGCTGCATGCTGCCCTGTCCCATGGGTTTCAACAGTCTTGGATGAATTTTCCTTTGATGCAGGACACAACACTGGGCTTTTAGAAGACTGACACCTTTTTTGTTTTGCTGCACTGGTTTTCTTAGGTAGATCTTCCTTGGGCTGTTTGATGGACTGGTGGCCAAGTGGTTTTGCCTCATTGATGGTCTTGATTGGATGGGCTTTGAAAGGTGGACCTGACTGTGGTCTTTTTGCAGGCTTTGGGGATGTTTGGTTTCTCTTGTTGTCAATTGGGCTTGACTTTGGTCGCACTGTCCTTTGGGAACGTTCATGTTTTGCCTCAGCCTTGGTCTCTTTCAAAGGCAGATTTTCCTTTAGTGACAAACATGAATTGGGTTGTTCAGGCTGGCAGCTTAATTGTTTTTTCTCAGAAGCACTCCTTGCATGTTTGTCCTTTGAAGTAGAACTGGCCTTTGGCTGACAGCTTGGTCCTTTTGCATCACTTGCACAAGGTTGTTCCTGTTTTTTTGTAGGACTTGATGTTGGCCTTCGTGAAGACTGACTGCTTAGTTGTTTAGCTTCGGTGGTGATATCAGGTGAACTCGTCTTTAAAGTTGGACTGGACTGAGTCCTTTTAGACGGCTGGCAGCATTTTTTAGCCTCATTTTTGGTGCCCAAAGTGCTGTCCTTTGCTGACTTTGAATTTGAGTTATCTTTTTTCACAGACTGGCAACTTGCTGATCTTTCCTCAGTAGTGTTCTTGGCTGTTTTTTGCTGTGAAGAAGGCAAGTTTTTTGGTGTTGCCTTAATTGCCACAGTGTTTTGTTTTGGCCTTGTGGCAGCTGGGCTTGATTTTATGACTTGGCAGGTTGTGACTTTTCCTTTTGTACATTTAGATGCACTGTTCTTTAGTGAGGTACTTGAGTTGGAACTGTTAACCTTTTCTGAAAAAATAAATAAATAAAAAAACAAGAACACAATAAGTATTTAAAACATATCCTTGAGACTGAAAATATTTTTGTGGCCCTCTTCACACCTGTTGGTAATTTCTGGTGGATAGCGCTATCCAGTGAATAATGTCCATCTAGTGGATAGCATAATAATTGATTTCCCTAACACTTATCTCCTGGATAATGATTTACCCATTAGATAGTCCTATCCATTGTTTTAACAACCAGGGTCAGTATGCATATAATAAAATTGGAAAAAATAAGAAAATTATGAAAATTAAAAACAACAAATAAAAGGCTGCATTGGATAATTACCCTTTGTCCTAATGGTAAAACGTGGAAACAACAAGGTTAATTAAATTAGTCTCTGGATAGTAACAGATGAAAGGGGTTTCACAATACTGAGAGTTACCAGCCTTTAAAAAAATAAAATAATAGTAAGAAAAACCAATAATAATAATAATAATAATATACTTAACAAAGTGATAAGTACCATAAAAAGCATTTAGAAAACAAATTAATAACAATTTTGATCCACTTTTTTTAAAACTCACTAAGTTTGGCCTCATTGGCCTTCCTTCTCAACTCTGCCGCCTTATTAGTTTTTGGTGAAGATGTTTTTGGTTTGTTGTCTTTAGATGAGCTGTTCAACCCGCGTGAGGTCTTCCCTGTAAAAGAAAGCGTTAATGAAGTTAATACTTACAGAAAACCTAGAGAAGGAAACTTCGAAAAGCAAGTACAATTTCATACAATTATCATCTTGTATGCTCGGTAAAGCGACCTGTATCTTTGAATGATGGGCCTTAACAATGATTAAAACAGTTAATTTTGATTTGTGAATTTAAAAGTGATATCCTGCCAGTTGGATAAGTAGACACTTAATTTAAGTTTCTGTGGGCTGCGTGAATCATTTGAATTTCGGGAAAGATGTTTTAGCCTTTAAAATACTTACCGGCGCAGGGAACTTGAACGGGAATACAAGGACCCGCTTTAGATGCTCCACAACCCATCTTGGGTTGCAGAAAAATGAAACTTCCGAAAAATATCTGAACGATTTGCAAACTTCTATCCGCAGTAAAATACACGACTGGTCGCGAGAAAGCGAGAGAAGAACTGAATAAACATTGTGTTACTAAGGCAACCAGCATGTTCTTTTTCTCAGTACGTCATGTTTCCATAGAGCTTTTGTAATCGTTATGTAGTTCTATTTTTTTCTTGAAAAAAACTGCAAAACACTTTGTCGTTGATTTTTTAGTGTTTTTGGTTTTTGTATCAAGTAAGTGTAAAAGTCCATGACCAAAAGGACAAAATAAGTTGCCCCAGTAGTAAAAGCGTTGATCGTGCTAACAAAGCAATCGCACTTCATTTAGATAGAGCTTTGATTTACTGACCTTAAAACCTACATTACAAACGATTTCCAGCAATATTTTCTTGCTCGAACAGATTACAACAAAATGCTTGGTTTTGTTTTCTCCGTTCTGACAACCTCCTCCCCAAGGTCTTCTCGCTTTCCAATGTGGCGGCGACCCTGGGGACGAGGGAGACCCAGGGACGCCGGGAAGGCGCGCCGAAAGTATTGAAGATCGAGTGGAAGAACGAAGCTCTTCCTTACATTTCGCAGTGCTTTAACACTTTCGTCGCGCTGTTTCTCCCGACCCAACTGACTTCCCCTGGTCCTTCGAGGATTGATGCACCAACGGAACCCATGAAACCTTGCCCAGAGTTGATTAAGATCATCTGAGTGATCTCGGCGAATCACTAATTCCCAATTGAACATACCCTTCGGGACTGCAACATGCAAAATAGTTGTGCATGTGCTTTCCCTTTGTTACCGAACGTAGGAGGGTTTTTTAATTATTAAAAACAACAACAAAAAAAGGATTCCTCGTTGCCCTTACCAAGGCTCTTCATTCCACAAACAATTCTTGTAGAGGCCAAAAACCTTAGAATTGAATGGAAGTAAGTCGCAGTCAAGTATTAATTATAGTTTTTCTTCAAAGTCCTCATTTATGGAAAAACGTTGACATACTTTATTTGAAAATAAAGGCTATGAATAACGTCACGACATGTTCTCAGGGATCAGGCGTAATTCAGTGGAGAAACAATTTTTGAGAGGGCCCAAAATATTTTTCACACAGTCGAACCTCGATACAACGAATCACTGTATAACCAAGTCCTGGCTGATTCTTTATAACTAGCTAGCGTTGGCCAAACTTGGAAGACGTTTGCGATATTCGGTAAAATGACATTCAATAATTTACAATTATTCCACGAGTGCACGTTGGATATGTGATGGTAGATAGCCAACGAGGCGCGTAACGCAACGCCGAGTTGGCTATAATAATCTCATATCCAACAAGCGCTAGTGGAATAATTGTTTTGTTAAAAACGCCCACAAAATATCGAGAATTCTTCCCAACTTTATTCGTAAAAACAACCGATTTTCAGTTTGTTTTTAATTTTGAGCAGACGCGTACAGTTACCATATTTGGAGAGCGTGGTATAATGGCTCATATCCCATGATGGCTAAGCCAATCAGAGCACTAGAATTGCATTATCCAATGATTCAGCTTTTAATAATACAGGCTACCGCCAGAAAAAGGGAAGGCAACCAAGAGGCCCTGGGGACTAGGTTGCGTAAGCTCAGTTAATATGGTAGAAAATGAAGGAACATTCTCACATTTGGAGAAGAAATAACAGGGCGTCTTTAAACCGTAAAAGGAACACCAAAAATAAAACTCAGTGGATGACAACTGATATCTGAAGTATACCTAATAGACTAAACATCTTTTATTATTCTGAATTTGCGGCGTAACAGGCAAATGAAGGTATGCATGTTTTAACGTATGAATTATTTTGAACGTCGGATCTTCATATATAATTCTTCAGATCACTCATACCTACCAAATATCCCGATTGCAATTACAAACCACACAAAAAAGACATCATAGATACAACTTGCTCAAACTGACTCCACTTCATCGTACAAATGAATGAACTTCATTCAAACGAATGAATATTGAAAGAGTTAATATTTCAACACCATGAGATTTATAAACGTGAAACGCTCGCGTGATCCATTTTGTTGCGCCAGAAAAGATATTATTCGTCGCTTTTAAATATAGGTATACATAACAACAAGGAAAGATAAACATTCTCTTGATAGAGCGGTTTTCACTTGACTGTCGTAAAACCAAAACCAAAGTAAATACACTAGCCAACCAAAGGGCGTAGTAAAACCAAAACCAAAACCAAAACCAATCCCTTTCGACAGTCAAGTGAAAACCGCTCTAAGAACAAATTCCGCAACAGAGCTGTGTTAAAATAGATATTGCTGCTTAACATGGACTTTTCGAGATGTCAAAGGGCTTTTTCCCTTTCCGATTTATGGTTTCATTGGTTAGAAACAGGCGCTAAGAAGGGGTTTCTGGTGCGTGCCAAACAGAAATAAAAAAATTAAAAAAATAAGTAATGGAAGAGCACATAATACTTGGAATTCTAACTTTGGAATAAACGCTTCCATTTTATAATACACTGTGAAGCACGCGCCGGTATCCGTATAGGACTATAGGGTAACAAACACTTGAACACTAACCACAGGAACACCGCCATACATTAAGTCCTGAATAATCGTTTGAAACCAGCAAACATAAACAGAGAGGCTTTTGTTAACCTTAATACCTAAGTAATAACCAACAAGTTTAAGTCAATAAATATATAAATAGAAATCGACTGAGTGTATTTAAAGGTTTAGAGCTTTGAGCTCAATTGTCGATTTGTGGAATAAATATGGGCTATAAGTTTCTTAATACCGATTGAGGTCTTCCTTCAAAGGGGCAACATGTTATCTTTCAGGAAAAATAGCCCCAGAATGTAATAGACACGTCATTAATGTATACATCAGCAAAAAATTGGCGTGATATCTCATGGGATCCGCATGATGTTCAAGATCATCTTCAACTGATCTTCTTTCTGTTTGCGCTACGGAGAGAAAAACAAGTGTTATTTGCGTTTTCCATGAATCTCAGTCTGATTTGCGCTTCAGAACATCCTGCGCTTTACTGACAAAGCATAAAGATTGGAGCTCAAAGAAACTTTAACTAGCGTGTTTCTTGTTTACCGCTGACTTTAAACGCAATATCAACAACACCACCATCAACAAAGGATTAAATAAGAAATTTTGTGGTCTGTGGGTTAATTTTCTTCTCTAGAAACAGTAAAAACCCGTGACTAATAACCTGTATTTTTCCAAGTTAACCTAAACAGGTTCTTACATAAATGATAATTAGCACAAATTTAGACTATTTAGGTACTTAAATAGGTTCTTATATTCTGAAGGAAAAAAATACATTGAAGCTAAGAGCATTTAGTGATATTCAGCTTAATCCTTATAGAAGATCTGCATCGCATTACATTGCAGTTGAAGTGATAAGGCACCTATATCTCCAAAGAGAATCAATAATGTTGACTTATCTTATTTGCTTAATTGTACAGAAATTTTTTTATAGATTTTAGAAAATAAGAACCTGTTTCCAATTTTAGGCTCAACAGGTTCTTCTAAAGCGGGGGCCTAACTGGCATATTTTAGCCTAACTGTTTCTTAAAAACCAGGTTCCTGGTTGCTGGTTTACTGTGTTCGGATCGACATGAAAGCTTGGCTTTTTCCAAATAAAAGAATTCGCGCTTATTGCTTATTTGGATACTGACTGTCAACATGTCACCTACGTCATATATTGAACGCGTGCGCAAAAGTAGAAATCTCAATGACCCTCATTTTTTTTCCTTTTTGGTACAGCAGTAAAAATCCATTACTGCGACCGGACAATGTTTGGATATAAACATTGACTTGTCATTATTTTCCATGAAAGCTCCATGACAAATACCTTTCAAAGTTCATTGTTTCACTTACTGTCTCTTGAAGAAATTTCTTTTGAAATCTAACCGTTTCTTTTTCCAACTCGGCCTGTAAAGTGGCCTGAAAACGAAAAACAAAGATAACAAAGAATTGTACACATCGCTTTGCTTTTTCTGGCTAGCGTAAGCATTAAAAGTAGATTTATCTGAAAGTAAAGTCATGACATGTTCTATTAACTTTTCGTTCCAACTTGGGTACAAGAAAAAAGTGTAAAAATTCACAATAAAGAATGCAGTCATCCGCTAAAACAGGACGACATCTTGCAGTATTCTGGAGGATTCTATCGATTTTCAAAATTAGTAGAATGAGGCTGTTCATTTAATAATGTCAGTTGTTTATAACACGGGCGATTATGTACTTTTTTTTTACCTTTTCTTTATTTCTTTTTTGTTCCATCATTGTCAGTTCAGCTTCCATTAATTCCTGCAGTTGCTGAATTCTTCTAAACCTAGCATAACAACCAGGATAAACGGTATGACAGGAAAGTTGCTCTTTAAAAGCCATTCTTGGGCCTTTCTTCGTCGAAACTCACATCCAAGGAAAAGCACAGGTGTCCCAAGCTCACGTTACGAGTGTGGAATGATGGCTGTTATTGTGTGACGAGTGACAGGGGTCACACAATAACAGCAAAAAAACCCGACTAAATCGATGAATTCTAACCAAAAAAAAAGGAATACATCAAAGGTAAGTCTCCTTTGTTTATTTTATAGAATAAAAGGTACAGTATAATGATATTTAGCGTCTGCAGACCTCAGTGTTTTATTTCTCATACAACGTCTCAACGGTCGCCTGTAAAGCGGCACTGACACTCGTAACGTGAGCTTGGGACGCCTGTGGGAAAACCAAACATTCTTTCCAAACAAAATTTGACGTAAAGAAATTTCACCTTGTTGATCAATCAGCCATGCTAGTTCACTTCATACCTTGACTTTGCCATTGTTGGCCAGTAGATCAACTGACCGGGCGATGACCGCTTAAGCTAGCAGTTGTTAATCGCATAAAGATGGGATTTTATTTTTTGGAGTGACTAACCAAAACAAGACCGACATGCATTCAGGAAATGCTACCCAACAGTTGATTTACCAAAACTTTTCCTCAGCCCAGCGTATGATAAAAGCTATCACTCACCTCTTTTCTTCGACCTGCCTCTGGTTCTTGAGAACCTTGCAGTGTTTGAGGAAGGTACTCTGGAAATATAAGATGAGAGTGCTTACAGGAAAAAGACTGCAGTGATCCAAAGTATATTTTCCAATTGGTAACTTAAAACTACGCATTTTAGATGCTTTTGACTAGAACAAAATTGTCAGCTTCACGATACTGAATAATAATATACTCGGACTTAATCTAAACGTTACAGTGCATCATTTTCCGTGTTTTTATTTCAAACATTCAGTGTTTTTAAGGAACAGAAATAATACCCATGTGAGAATTCTAACATACTCTCTACATAAAAAAGATCTCATAGAAAATAACAGTGCAACAACTGTAAAATGGTAAATGCTTCAATTTGTTCACTGTGAAAGTGCACTTCGGTTTTCCACTGAGGCTAGTTCACTAGCACTCCACTTAAATAATTAGAAACAAATATATAACAGGATTCTGTAAAAAAAACAGCCGACAGGAGGCAACCAGTTGTCCATTTGCAATCATAGCCAAGGCGTTGAGCCCTGTGTGATCGAGAGACAAGGACACGGACTCCTGATCGTGGGATTGCCATATATACCTACCTCCATTTCTCTTACAGTAGAAGCCGTTTTTTCCAAGTCTGTTTCTAGGCCCTTAATTTGGTCCACCAGTTGGCGTTTGTATTTCTTTATGGCACTGTGACTAGGATACACAAGAAATGAAAAGAAGAAGTTGGCGTCTTTATTTCAAGCTGAAAGGATGGATGAAAGAATGGATAGAGAGAGGGACACAGGGACGGATCAAAGAATAAAACAGAAAAGAGAATAAAGATACGAAAAAAGAGATGAAGCCATCTTGAGATGAAGACCGCGATTTGTTTATTTTTTTTATGAATCAGAATCATATAATTAACAATTATTCCACGACTGCGCGTTGGATATGAGATGGTAGTGAGCCAACGAGGCGCGTAGCGCCGAGAGTGGAATAATTGTTTTATCAAAAACGCCCACAAAATATAAAGAATTCTTCCCGACTTTATTTGTAAAAACAAACGATTTTCAGCTTGTTTTTAATTTTGAGCAGACGCGTACAGTTACCTAGACTAGTCCTTCGTCGGATTTCATATGGTGCGGGACGAGGACCTCTCGCGACTTCGTCGCTCGCGATCTGCCGATCGCGGCCAAACAAGGCTCGCTCCGCTCGCCAAGAGATCGACTTGTAGCAAGTCTGACAGTTACCATATTTGGAGAGCAGGGTATAATGGCTCATACACCATGATGGCTAAGCCGATCAGAGCTCTAGAATTGCATTATCCAATGATTCAGTTTTTAATAATGTAATATTTAACACTTTGACAACTAGTATATTAAATGTATGAATGAAACCCACGTATAAAACAGTAGCGTTACCCAGTTAAAAGGCTACTCTGCAATTTTGTGTATAAATTTCATTTCTGAAACGTCACTCGTCTAAAGCTAGTATAACACGGGCAACCTAAACGCGCAACTAATTTTACATTATTTCTGCAAAACTATGTTGAATAGCAGGGTTGCGAGTTTTACCAACCACGTTCAAACCTGTCTTGCAACAAATCAGCTTGTTGCAAGTTGCGTGAACACTGACTCACTGGATAAAATTAAGCGGGATCCGTACACGGGAGTTAATTACATCACTTGCTACAAGTAAAAGTAGCAACATGTACATATATTTTTGCAAATTACCAGATTATAGATAAGCTCTTTGTTTTGTGGTTTTTTTACCTGGCTACCTGCTGTTCGTTCCAGAAGGTATCAAAGGTAGACGACATCAGTTCGTTGACTCTTTGCGCATACGACTTGATGACCTGACCAGCTTTCTGTAAAAAGTCATGGTAATTTGATCGGATAATGGTTAGTGAAATACAGAATATTCAAACACCCAATATTAGTACTTCTACTATTTGGACGATCCTAGTTAAGAAAAGCACGACATGTGAATGTAGTTTAAAACAAGCCACACCATAAACAATCTATTAGTTGCCGACTATTCAAGGAGTTCACGACTTTGGGCATTTGGTTCTTTCAAATCTACCCTCGAAAAAGAAGTACTGCATACGCCATTGTGTCACGGAATTTTCTCGTTTTAGCTCACACCGGGTTAACAGAGTAAAAAGATTCCTCCCCTGCCCGCTAATAAAGTACAGTTGGAGTCGACATAACCTACCTACTTTGCTACTTACCCGATTTGCCTGGGTAACCTTCCCGCCAGCTAAGTTTACCAGACTCTGAATATCTCTCCTACAGAAAAGTATAGAAAACACATACGGTAGACAAGTCGTGTAGCACTTCCACAATCTCGGGAGGCTAAAACTGACTTGTATACGGACATTTTTTGATTCAAACGAGCAGATAGTACCAACCTGAAATCTGCACTTCTTTCATTTACTACCTCATCCGTCTCGTCAACATCATCTATAAAAAATTCAACTGCAGTCGTTTCTTAAGAACTTAAGAGTAAAACAGAAAACAATTGACTCAATAGAACTCACAGGGTTCATCGTTATATGAAAGCTTTCTGGGCTTGCCGAAATGTTGACTTCTTACGTGTACTGTCTCTGCATACCAGCCTTCAGTACGGGACGTTCTTGTACCTTGAGAATGAGATTAAAGACTGGTTTTCTCATGATCGTTATTATTGCACACTGGTAACACGTTCAGCAATAGCACAACATCGCTCACTAAGACACTTCAATACTAAGGCCATGTCCACACGAATACGGACTGATATATTTGAAACCGCATATTTTTAAAATTTTTAAATTAGGAGTTAAAGTAACCCCAAAAAGGGCTAAAATAACTCCCTAAAAATTACGGTGTGCACAGAATTTCCACCCGGGTGGTTTGTGTAAATGGTCTGATATCCGAGCAATCGAGTTAACCAGTCGGGGGATTTTGGACGTTGAGAAAGTATAGGTATAATATGTGCAATATGAAAAGAATAGTTTTCTTTTGGTATTGACATTTATGTTCGTTGTGACTGTACAGAGGTTACCGATATAGATCAGTGGCGTGAAGAAAAAGAAAAGGTTGTCTGGGGTTAACGGATTCATGAGGGCCTTAGTTTGAAACAGGGAATTTCAATGTATTTACTACCATACATGCTGTACCTGTTGGGGCACGGGAGGTGGAAGGGCCTGAAGTTGACCAGTCGACAAATTTTCTTTTTCCTCTGAGCATTTCAGTCTGAAAGTGAGATAAATACCGATCACAAACTGGATAAGGTATCAAAAATTTCACTGTCAAGAAGATTGACTGACAATAATATCTCTCTAGCGTTGGTGAACATTACTATCAATTAGCACACGTAAATTACATATTGCCATGCGATTTTTTCATAGTAACTTCAAAAAGTCTTGCACGCTGAAAACCATTGGTCTGTGGACAAGAATGCAACACTAGTTCATTCGAAATAGGACGATTTCGCTTTAAAGGGACTGTTCTCAAGAGTATTATCACATGACTTTATGCATTGGGAAAACGAAAGGTGAAGAAGTCAAAACTGATGATTAGTTCACACGTTTCGCCGAAACCGAGCTGACTCAAGCGTTATAATTGATTCAACTTTTTTATAAAATATATTTAAATGAAACCTACTTTAATGTATTTTCTCCTAACAAAAAAACAAAAAACAAAAACGGCACAAAGTTGTCATGCACTAGTTAAAGATAGCCCGCGAATACAGCCACCTCTCATCATTCCCCGTCGCGAAACGTCCTCATCAGCGAAGAGGAGTGACTACGCAGACGCTTGAAAGGGAGCAAGAAAGATTGCGCGCCCTGTCCTTTCTTGCCCATATTTCTTCAGATTACTGTTTTTTTTTTCAAGAGCCTGATACGCAGGATAAGGAACGAAGATAGGTGGCTGCATTCGAAGGGTTAGTTGAAGGCAAAGTACTTGTCACTAACCATGGCTGGCTTTAAGTCAGGTGAGACAGACTCTTCATCAGTCTACAAACAAATTACACCACATAATTATTGAGCCTAGTCATGAATATCCTGAATGGGACTGCTGGTGACGTTTTAAAAGCTCGATGCACAAGTGATCATCAAACATTTTTACACGGGGAGCTGATTGAAAAGCCAATGCAAAAAAACTAGAGTATAGTACCATCAACTAAGTTTATTAGTAACGATAGAACACTGACAACAACAGTCCTCTGCAGGACTACACTCACTCGAGAGATCATATCGCACCTACATGTACTTATGGTATGACTTCTTGGATCAATTTACAGTTAATATGTAAGTAATGTGACAAAGCCCTCCCAAGAGTAGATTCATTTTCCCAGAAAACAGGCTGCGTACCTCAGCATTTGCGGAATCATCTTCAGCTGAAAACAAGTGAGGAGGATAGTTAAAGAAACAAAGAATAACTAAAGGTATCAAGAGATTAGATAATGAAGTAAATGGAAAAAAAGAAAGCAACCAGCAAGCAAAAAAAAAAACACGATATCTTTGATCTTACTTGGCTCTTCTTGATCTGATTTTGGTGTAATTGGTGTTTTTGCAATAGACACTTGGAGTGGTTTCCGAGTCCTTTTCCTCGGTTGTTTTGACCGTTTATGCCGTTCTTCTCCGAACGGTGTTTCACCAATACCTAAACAAGAAAGACACACAAAGGATCAAACAAATACCAGACGTAGTTTCATGTAACGTGCATGCAATTTTCTTCTCTTCAACTTCGCTTGCTTATGTTACCGTCTACAGTAACTCTTTCTAGAGTTCTCTTGCACTCCGTTTGCGCAAGTCTCACGTCACCGATTGTCCTAGACCAGGCCTGGTCCTAAACGTGCAGGACGAGAAGAATATTCCCATCCAATCAAGGCTTGGCAATATTTTAGTCAGAACTAAATAAGAAAACGCCACGTTGCACGTTATGTCTTCCGCAATAACATACAGAAAACTGCTTAAAATACGCGTCATACATGAACAGATTTCAAGTTTTCACGAGACAACAGGAAATTTAAAGCTAAGCGACCAGATATTGTAAATAAAAAATGTGTCCATAAACTTATCTTTTGCACTTAGTTGACAACAACAGTATTCTTCAACTTTTCTGTAGTGTAAATCGACCGTGAAGCGAATGAAAGACAAAAACTAACAGATACTTTCTACATGCGTTTCTAAAAGACGAGCCTTCCAAGCAACACCTAAGATGTTACAGCTGCTCTCTTGTATTAAATTTTTTGAAGCATTAATTCAAATCGGTTTTAAACAATGATAGCTAAAAGAAACAATCGGTTCACTTGTTTTGTAACATATCTTGTGTAACAGCAAAGCAAAAAAGAGGCGAAACAATTCCAATAATTTGTGTCGAAGAAGCATTTCAAGCATACTATAGGTATAAAAACGGTCAGTGATCCATAATCAACACTACCTGAGTCATGTAAAATCATGGAACGCTTTGCAGCATTTGATCCTCCAGAGCCTGGGCCAGTCTATAGAAAGACAGTAAGAGAAAGAACAGCAACAACAATTGTTGAATGGTTTTCCCTGAACATTTCTTTGGAATGTGTAGCAAAAGCATTTTTTTGTTATATTTAACAGGTGTCATTACGTTTAACAGATTTAGCAAACACGGAAAACATGATGAACCACTATGAAAAAGGCACTCTGTACTAATGGCCTTCACTTTTTGGTAAATTTTCGTATTCTCTTTGTGATGAACTGGAAGCAACGCGCGTGTGCGGATAATTCGGGGAAATAATACAAAAAATCTTTGATTGTGAGAAGATTCCAGTCTTCTCCCTCCCAAACCCCCGGATGAGGGATGTGGTCTATGAAGATTAAGTTATTTCTGGACGCAAACGGTGGTCTCTAAGGCAACTACTGTTAGTTGTGACTAGCCATACACCAGGTTAACGGTTTACACACACTGTAGTGTTTTACACCGGGTGAATTATAAGCCGTGTAGGGTGTCTTTTACGCGTCAAATTTCTAACCTAACGTAACAGCAAAGAAGCGGTCATATATGCCGTTCACACTCTAAATCAGAAAGATCTGTTTTAGCCCTAAAAACAGGGCCATTTCGGTGAGTAAATTTTGGGTCTAATTTGGCTCCCTTAAAATCAGGGCCAATACAGTCCAAATAGCTAGGGCTGATTTGGTCCCAGGGCTAATATGGGCCCTACCGTGGGCTGGAATAGCCTTTTGATTGAGCTTTTTTGGCCTAAACTGTGCTCAAATGGCTCCAGGAAGGGCTGAATCAGACTTTGTCCTGCAGGGCTGAATTGACACTTTGGGGCTGAAAAAGATCTTTCTAATTTTCAGTGCAATTTTCCCCGTGGTGATAGATTGAATCTAGCGGAAAAGAGCCCAGCAATACCGCAAACGAACATAAAAGAAACAGCTTAAAAAGTAAAGTTAGCAAAAAAGTAGCTTACCAGACTTTTGCCTTGTTTCTTATGACTTGTTTTACCATAAGGTTTGCTATCAAGATTAAAGTCATACTCCAGTTCAGGATCACTATGAACAGAGTCCGATTCTTCTCCAGTATCGTCCTCTTTATCATATCTTTGTTCAGCGGTGTAACTAAAGTCTGTTTGCTGAGATAACTCCGTTGGTGTTTTAAGATTTGGAGCAATCTGAAAGTGATGACAAAGCCCTTAGAACTACATCAAGAACAATCGTGCTTGTAACATATTCTTTACAAAATAAAGCTTGATGGAGACATCTCTTGCACACATGACAAAAGTAAATAGAACTCAGAGATACGAGTGTGGTCGTGCACGTTTTCTTTCTATAAAGATGGGTAAGAGACGAATTACGTGTCTGTGTGGTTATGCCTCAGTTAGTACAAAGAAAGGAAAAGACAGAATGAGGCCGAGTGCACAACCTTTCTCGTGAAAATGAGTTTTATTAGCATGAGAACGAAAAATCGTTCCTATATCAAAGGCTGAACACTTAACTTCGTTTTGATACAGAGGCCCCGGGGAACTAGGAAATGGCCTAATACCTTAGCACGTTTTAAAGGAATATCCTCTTCCTCAGAGCTAACAGATTCTACATCTGACGGTTGGGCCTGCAAAAAACAAGCACGTTAACACCTGGGGTTGCAAATGCCTCAAACACATCTCTGAATGAATTCACTGGAGTGGACTGCTGACAAATTAAGACAAACATTAAAGCATACAAGGATAGGCAAGGCCTTCAATGATAAAGAGTCATTGTTTCCACGTAGACATTATTAAATTAATATAACAGGGTCTCTTAGTAGAGCGTCAATTATTTTTTAAGCTTCAGTTACGAGTGTTTAGACTAGAAATCGTTTTTTTGCTTAAATCCGAGCGAAATGTTATCTCAATCCAACCACCTCGGGCCCAGTTACTAACAGATACCACAGTCTGAGAAATCTAATTTACAATTTCTCAAATCATATAAACAGAACCATTCCAGTTCTGTACATAGGTACATCAACTCATCAGAAAAAGGAAAGACAGCAGAAGGGCTACGAAGATGAAGGAGAAATCGCGGACAAAGTTCTCAAAACATCTACACATAATTCACCTGGGGCGATCCTTCCATTTGCAGTTCAATTTCTCGTGTGCTTAGCGGTGTTGTGAAACTTCTCATCATAACGATATCAGCTTTTGTTAATGGCCTTTTTTTCTTGGGTACTGGTTTTTTCGCTGAAATACAGAGGCCAACATCTCCCGTAGGGCTGTCTCCACTCAACAGACTTTGTCTTCTTCGTCTGCTAACAGTTTGAGCAACTGGTGATGAATTTATAAGGGGACTGGCGTCTTCAACGTAACATTCTGTTTCGCCATAGCACTCTGTAACTTCATCGCTGCCGCTGTCACCTAGAAAATCAGACTTAAACATAAACCCTTGCGTCTTTTTCAGCTTCTCAGGAGCAATTTTCCAGTTTTCCCGACTGTAAACTACTGAACCATATCTTGCATTTCACAAAAACCCAGCTTTTAACTTAAGGCTTAGATCTTTAAGCTTCATCTTGAGAAAATGAAGATAGACTTGTTAAGAGAAAAACCTGTATAGTTACCTCTCCAAACAAGCTCATTGTGATCTTCATTCTTGTCATCGATCTCCGAAATATTGGCTTCAGCCGCATCCTTGGGCAGATCTTTTCGTTTCCGTTGTGAAGACCTCTTGTTTGTAGAATTTTTGTCAACTTCTGGAAAGAAGGGTATCAAGTTAAAGCGAGGCCCGTCATTCTATCTGTCATGCTTCTACCCGTCCGATAACCTTTCGATACACGATGTGTCAGAAATGTGTGTGCCTTTCCTGGAGGAATTCACTTACAAGTCGAGCTGACGCTTACACAGAATACTACCGAAGGTAAATGGGGGAAAATGGTAAATGCTTTGTATATATTGTGGGCAAAAGCTTACCTGCTCTAGCTGGTGGACTGGCACTCCATTCAAATTATTTTGGACAATAAATACAATTGATGTAACAAAACAGGATTAAAGACCTAAGCTGTTAGGAGGCAGCCAGCTTTCAAAACCGAAGATTTGAACTTGGGAAGTAGTATGGTAGGGACGTTCTGCCCCTTTTTTTGCGGGGGAATCTCATTAACTTGCGGGGGAAAACATTAACGCGATGACTTTATAGCCATTTATCGTTATCTTATTATAAGGTCATGTGCTATATGAGTAAAACATCCCTACCATACTACTTCGGAACGACCGTGAACCTATCTAACCAGTGGTCTGATCGGGACTCAAAGCTGCGACCACTGGAATACGAATGCGACGCGATAACCTGCAGGCCACGCTGCCTCCGTACATAAAACACAACAGTGGGACCAAGCCATGAAGTTTGGTTTCAATTTTTTTCAAATTGAGTCTTACCTCTTGACACTTTCTCATTTCGGATTTTAGGATTATCTTCAGAATTTGAGTCACTATCTACTACAACCAAGTGACGAGTCTCTTTTTGCTTCTGGTATTTTCTTTTCACTCCTTGTGAACGTCTCTGGTCTGTGGTCCTCCTCTTGACATCTAAAAATACAAGACCCCACAGTTCTACCATTCATCCTCTATGGCCACCAAGACAGAATAACGAGCACAAAAGGTCATTTCTTCAAAAATAACATTTGATGAATAAAATGTTTTTCATGTGTCTACTTTTGTATCTTTCGAGACGGAAACCACACAAGGAACCAGGGCAACAACAAATTACGATCTGCTTTTAAAAATGGGTAAATTTACCAGTCAATGCTGGCTCATTTTGATCACCAGACTCTGTGTCTTGAGCCTGCGCCATGGGTAGAGTGTCGTTTTGTTTCCTTTCCATTCTTGTAGGCCTCCTCTTGGTGGGTATCCGTTTAGACTCTGTAAAGAAAAACAAGCTCTATCTGATGTCTTGCTTTTAATTCTAGAAAGGAAAACAAGCAGACGGTAGAGCGCTTGAGCAAGCAGGAGGAAGAAGTAAGTAAAAACGTCACAAAAAATAAATTCGCACTCTTTAAAACTCTATTGCGCTTACTATACCTCGTTTAAATAGTCAAATGCTGACGTATTTGCCTGGAGTTAAACTCTTAATGACTTTATCCAGGTAGAAAAAGAGAAAGCATAAATCGTTCAAATGTGTTGACATCCTCCATAAAAGGTCGCATTGACGTCACAGAAAATTGTGATGCACTTGCAAAGCTGATGTCTTGCTTACAAAACTAGTTGTTTCTGACGTTTTTGTTGCCGTGCTCGTTGGGGTTACCCCAGCATAAATCCAGGAAAAATACTTTGCTGTATTTGTTACGTAAATCCTGAGACATCGTTGAAACTCAATAAATAAACTTGCGGGTCATTATTTCCGTTCTATTAACAAAGAAAATTCCGGAATAATCCAAAATTTATTCCCATTTACTCCGCTGACAAGTTAAGCCATTTTTCCTGTAGTTGTGATTTTGCTTAGGAGTTGCATAAACAACTTCGGATTATCAATGGAGCAGAGAGCGATGTAGCCTTCAGTGCTGGCTGATAAGAAAAGAATGGATGTGAAGGTGGTGGGTATAAAATTTGACTAGAAAACGACCAGAAGATGACAGATCAGACGACAGAATTATTTTTCGACCGGTCTGATAGTCACTGGTTAGAACTATTTTGAGGTAAATTCTTAAAATGACTGGTCGCTTAGCGAGGGTTCATTGCAACAAATCTAGCAAGGCCCAAAGAGCAGCTTGTAAAGTTCGTGGTGAAAATGTTTTCACCTGCGTTTCGTCCTTCAGGTAACTTTCCAGTTGGAGTGTTCGCCGCTTTGCTGTTTTTTGAAGATACTGCGATATCAACGTTTATCCTTTGTCTTGTTGCTCTCGATTTGTCCTCCTTAACTAGGGATCCTTTATTACCACCAGTCATATCTTGGTGTTTTGGCCCACTCTCATCCTGAAAGCCAAAAAAAAGGAGAGAGAGAGAGAGAGAGATTCTCATTGCCTTATTCAGCTCTCCTATCCGCTGTAGAAAAAAATCACTTGATATGCAACTTTTCCTCTTAACACAAAGCAATACGCCATTAAAAATTCTAGCGCAAAAAGTGAATCGTACATTGTGACGTGTTTGGATAAAAATACCGCTCATTTTCAACTTGCATCCATCATAAAAATTTGTTAAATAATTTATATCACTCGACACAGTGTTTGAGTTTCATTACACCTCGTAATTCGTCAAAAATACTCCACGACACGTTGTATTTCCAACTTTCTTTTCAGTGTTTGATATCAGTGGTGGTGGTGGATTCAGATCTTTACGTAAGTTAGAGACCCGGTCATTTAGTCCCTTGGATAACAGAGGGGCCCGACATCGAAATATTTTTTGTTGGCCCTGCGCAACCTCGTCTCCAGCGTCCTCTCGCTTAGGCCCTGCGGCCTGTCTCATTTTCGCCATATTAAAGTACGGTGCCCCCTGGCCCCTCCTTTTGATCCTCCAATGGATATGTGACGATTAGTGCCGTTTTTGAGATATTATCTAGCTCAAATCTACTTACCTCCGTACTGTCAGCAATCGGTAAAGAGTCCTGAATTACATCAGCACATTTCTCTCTTATGTCTTCATTATCTTTACCTGAGGCATCACCTTGATTACAAGAAGAAACATCAGAGCTGAAGGACTTTTGCACCTTCCTCTGTTTATAACCTTTAATCGGTAAAGCTTTGAGTGTACGTTTTCTTCTCTTACCAGATCTAGGGTCGCGTAGTCTTGCCGGGCTCATCATGTGTAACTTACTGTTACCATACTTGACTTCCATTACCTTCTGAAAGAATTGATAAAAACTATTTTTGCACATGCAGAGTATTTTCCGTCCGAGTTGCACACAACCAAAGTCCTCTGGATTTCAACGCCTGGGGACTGGCAGAACTTACAATTGATAGCAGGCACGATAAAATTTTAATTTGTGCTAACCAGTAAAGATTAACTTTTGTTTTACTGTCTAAAGTTATCGTTGAACAAAAAAAAAAGCAGGAATGTAGTGTAATCAGTTCTAACTGTAAGACGACCAGCAAAAAAGTAAGCGTTATAGTTCGTCTTAAGCGCATTATTCCCACAGAAGGTAAGCTCCTTACCATACGGCATTTTTATAAAGCATCGGACATGAGAAAACTAGAAAAAGTTCAAGAGAGGGTGTTACGCGCAGTTTTCAACAACAGAAAAGCTGAATATGGAGAATTCTTGAAGAAAGGGAGTCTACCTAGTCTAGTAAATAGGTACCTTCAAGACATTTTGATATAAATGTATAAGGTTAAAGATTCTTTAACAACTCAGGGCTCAAAGTTTAAGTTTGAGTTTGGGAGCACTCGGCTACCAGATGTAAGTTTTTAGGCGCACTGCCGAAATTTTAGGCGCACAGCTGAAAATTTTAGGAGCATAGTTTATAATGTAATATAATATAATGTAATGTAATATAATATATAAGCCAGAGTATTCGTAAGAAATACAGTCTTCAAGCCTTCAAGAAAGCCGTAAGGGGAATTAATATTATGAACCTATTAGATGGATCATACAAATGCAATGCTTGTGCTACATAATAGACTTTCTGTAATGAAATTTATATGCATGTGATCAAATTATTCATATATTTCAATTTTCATATTTTATTGTACATAAATATCCATTAATCTCAATTTTTGTATTTTATTGTACATATTCACATAAGTATTATTTTGATGTATATGTAGATAGGAATTTTCTTTTGTCCCCAATTAGCTTCTTAGCTAAATTTTCCGACACTTTAAAAAAGTACATGTATGTATGCATGTATGTATGTATGTATGTATGTAAAGCAAACGAAGACCACTTTTGTCTACAACTAAAACCGCTCCACAAGTATAGTCACAAGTTGCCATGAAATTGGATCCAACCTAAAGTAATAATCAGTCACAGCTAATATAAGAAGTGTTGTAAGAGATTCCTCTGGCTGTTGTTTAATCTAATAAGATCATGCATGTCTATCATTGAAGCTTTAAGATCCTTTGTGATGAAAGGGTGTAACGCTTGAGCAAACTGGACTAATCCCTTCCATGGGAGTCAGTCTACGGGATACATGCATCGGTAGATTAAATTACAGTATGACTATTGACCACTGTGTGGTGTTGTGTTTTAAGGTAACTCGCTACTCTTTCTTTTCAAATCACACGGGAAACTGGGTCAAAATGCCTTAAAGTCTTTCCTGTCTGGTTACCAAATTTACTGTTGTTACTTTCTTATTTAACTGAATAAGCGTGAAAAAGAAAATAAGACAACTTGGATCTTAAAAATGTTGGAAGCAAGTCAGTCAGTCTATTGACCTACACTCACCTCTATATGTGTAGGGGAGCGGCGTGCCTTGGCAAACACTTTTTCTCTGATAGCTCTGCGACTCTTTGCAGCCTCTGACAAAGTTTTAGTTGGTACGGTCTTTTGTTTACTGGCAGCCAGTCTACCACTGACATTAAAAGCTGATGGCAACGATTTCCTCCTCATGCTATCTTTTTTATTGTCCTCCTCTGAAGAATGCTGAATTAACAAGATATAAAGCACAGACAGACATTTCAGATTCAAGGAGTTTGGAAGGGTAAGAAGGGTTCGATGAATTTGCCTATTCTCCTTGAATACGAGATTTAACCAACACATTACTAAAAGATGAGCTTTTCATCGACAAAATCAGCGCCATATAACAAATAAAGATTATTCCCAAGCATCATTAGTTACATATTCACACGATCTGAGACAAAATGGAAAACAAGCGGTTGCTGCTTCTCAAGTCCACGTAAGTGCAATCCGTTTTTCTTTATTTATCTTTTACATTCTCGTACAGTCTAAAGCATTTATTTGGATATTACATTAAGTTTGGTTATCGTTTGCAAATTGCTGAAAGGCATAAACTAGCACGGTGACCAGGCGTCTTATGTCAGCCAATTCGCTCAGAAAATGGGCACCATACATCCCTACTATACTACTCAACGGTTGCAGAGATTGAAGGAAGACATCTTAGGAGGGAATGACTGATGGAAAGGAATAGATCCCGAGCAAATGTTATGAAGAGGAACATGCATGAGGGGGTTACAAGTGTTATACGCCATCTGATCTACCTATTATCCGTGCTGTTAAAATAAACTAGCTAAAAGATGGTAACCAATGAATTAAGAGGACCCTGACTTACCTGTACTGACTGCAGATTATCTCGCGATCGCATACGTTCAGAAATCCGCTTTACAGGTACTGTGGATGGTTTTCTTCTTTCTGTAGTTTCTACATCTTTGTTTTCTTCTTCATTTGCTGCCAAAGATTCAGCTTGCTTAGGACGTTTTTCGGATTCATCTCTACGCACTGTTGGCTCCAAACGTTGTTTCCATGCATCGTTGTTTTCATCTTTACTTCCAGCCAAAGATTCATCTTGATTTGGGCCTTTCAGGGGTTCATCTTCGTTCACTGAGTGGTCGTCATTCAAAGTATCACCAGCCTGAAGAAGAAAATAGAAAGGCAAACAGTTATACAAGGAAGTCGAAGTACAGAACATATTATGGTTCGTTTTTTTCTCGTTAGGATTAACATAAAAAGAAAAAGAAGTACGAAAACTGTTCAAGAATTGTCGTGAGATTTGCACGACATTTTTGTCGTTATTATTATTTTCTGTGTATATAACCTACAATAGTAACGGTCTCTATGAGTCTGGAGAAACATATTTAAATAAAGAATAAACGAGAGGTGATTGACCAATCTGAGCAAGAGCAGTATCTTAGTCAATTCTTCACAAGTTAGACTAGTTGTCCGCTTCACACACCTACATTCATACTGTATAATAAAGTTTTACCTCATGTTCAGCTTCATCATTGTCTGACGTGACGTCGTTTACCGGGCGGTTGTCAGTACTATTTCGTTCCGGTTTCTCGTTATCTCCACTAATTCTTCCACTTGGTCTTTTCTGCAGTCGAACATTTTCTTCCTCATGGTCCGTTGTACTTTCAGAAAGCTAAGATGAGGAGAAAGACCCTTCCAGTTAGGGTTACAATTGAAACGTTCCAAAACAAGACGTGTAGTGATATATCATGGAAAGTCTAAAAAGTTGTTTTAGAATTGCTAGAATTATTTTGCCAAGCTCATTAATGGTTCATGAAAAAGAAGAACAAACGGAAACCAAGATCAAGTATAGGGCATTGAATTTTCTTTGTAGCAATATCGATCACTTCAGAAGTCACACAAATAGCTCTAAAGAGTATTTTACTCGATATACAACTAAAAACTCGACAGAACCTGATGTTTTCAACCCACTTCTGTGTGTCCGATTATTAAACAGTGGAGGCCCCACAGGTGCAGCTAATCGGCCAGGAATTCCTGGTTTGCAGCTGACGACACGGCGGCTACCTTAGTTGACAAGAACAAAATTCGTTCCCTCCGCTGGGAACGTGACTCCCTTTTCACGCCAATTCTGCCCAAAAAAATGTACTGTTTTGTGGTTGCTCAGCAAGATTATTTACGGACGACATAATTGCAAGCAAAGTTTGCAACCGGCAACTGATTAGCTGTCCGTGGGGCGCCGAGTGTCCGGGGCTCGAAAAAGAACCTCAACTCCAGCTTGTCCTTTGAACAAGCAGCTCTCACATTTGCTCGACCGGCCGGGGCCACTTCCTACTCGTTTTAGGGCGCTTTTCATTTGTCAGAACTGACCGGCCAGGCAGTATTCCCATCGTTACGAGAATTTCACTTTTAATCAAAACTAACCATCCACATAAGTCAAATCCTAAATATTATGCACAAAGGAGATGGTTTTTCAGCAAAACCTCTTGGAAAAAGCCTATTTTATTGCCAAAATGTCTAGACCGGGTAGTTCCGACTTTTGGAAAGCGCCCTTAGCTAATGATTTTGGTTGGGGATGACTTGCCTGGACCCTTGCAATGGCGGATCCAGACCTTCAGATAAGGGGGGGCCCTGTCATCCAGACTCTAAGTTAAGAGGGTGCAGTCTCTTCCGCCCTTCGGGCCTCATTTTGGCCTAAACATAATGGGGGAGCCGGGCCCCCGGGCCCCTCCCGTGGATCCGCCACTACCTTGCCCATTGGGCGAGTAAGCTTTATAAGTTGCTTGCTCAGCAAGAAAAGCTACCTGTTCCGAACTACTCGATGGGACTTTTTTCGAGCCCTAGTATGAATGTCAGAATGAAATGAAACACTCAACTCGCATTTTGTATATCACCCCTCACAAATTTATAAGTACTAAAAATCGAGTTTAAATTTCAAGCATTGAAAGAGTCGAAGCACTAGACATCACCTGGAGTATTATACTGGCGGTTGGCATAACATGTGTCACTTCTGTTTTCTTGCTTCGTATACGAACAGGATTAATTGCTACGGAAGCTTTGTTAGGAGTTGAACTTGTATCTGACTCCCCACCGCTGTTTTGAACCCTTTTTGCTGGTCTACCGAATATCTTTGCTAACGCATCAGTCAAACTGGAAGTATGTTGGAAGTGTTAAGGCGTGATACCGATAATCAACTTTGGCTGATAAATGTTAGGTATAAGGGCCGTACAAATGGACGCAACAACTCCCAACATTGTTGGCCCAACCATGTTAGGAGTTTTTGCGTCCGTTTGCACGTAGCTAAACGTTTGACCGGAATCAAACATTGCGCAACAACTCGAAACAACATGCAATAGGATGTGCAAACGGACGCAACTTGTAACATCCAACAATGTTGTGTCAAATTACACAGGGCTATGCAAGTGTTAAGCAACGTACAAGTGTAACATTGATGCCCAACAATGATGATGAGAGTCGTTGCGTCCATTTGCACGTAGCTAAAAGTTTGACCGGTTTCAAACTTTGCGCAACAACTCCCAACAACGCGCAACAACATGTGCAAAAGGACGCAAAGTGTGACATCCAACAATGTTGGAAGTTGCTGGCCAACATTGTTGCGTCCATTTGCACGTGGCTTTATTCATTACTCTGTAAAGCGACAGTCTTGTTTCGACAAATAGCTAACAATACCCGACGCACTGTGTGGTGACAATTTTTGTTACAGTTACTTCATAACAGAGAAAATTAACGCGACAGAAATTGTCCTCTACAGCAAAAACGTACCTTATTATAGGAAATTAACGCTCCATGAAATTAACGCGAAAGAGGAGGTAGAATTTCATAATAAAGAAAATTATTGCGATTAAGACACGGTTGGTGGTGACAACTGGAACAAATTGACAATTGACATCACATGACAGCGACAACGATGAAGATGAACTCGAAATATTGTAAACCTTCGCCTTACAAATAGCTTTTGTGAAAGATGAAAAATAAAGGGTAAATGGAAAGAAAGAAAGCTTGTAGTTAATTTTTTTAGGTGTCAAGAATGTCTGGACAGGTTCCAAAACTGGGATTAAAATACTGGAAATTAAGAGCACGGAAATTAACGCTGCACTTAATTAACGTCGCGGAAATTAACGCTACACTTAATTAACGTCACGGACATTTACGCTCAACAAAATTAATGCGACTTAAATTAACGCGAATTTTAACGTTTCGCCTTAATTTCATGGAGCGTTAATTTCCTATAATAAGGTATGCAAAAGAACCACGCACAAGACTTAGCAGCTGGGTATGTTCTCAGCATGTTCTTAACACTTTGGTCAAACCCCGCCTCAGATTTACTGTAAAAATGTTTCGACATGTACAAGTAAAAAAGATAAGTAAAACTGAAGTATACATGAATCCATAATAATATATAATGAATACAATAAAAAATTGCTCCAAACGTAACGCTGGGTAAAATATTTCCTACATTAGCTTGAAAAAAATGACAGCTAAAAAAATGACTATTTTATAGCTGCTACTTGAAACAGAAAATTATCTAAAAATCACAAAACGTATCAGAATGAGTGCAGCATGACATACAAAAGGATATAATCAACATTAAAAGAAATTTTGATGTATTGGCTGGGATTGCGAGGTAGGAAGCATACGAGGTCCGCGGCAGGAACGTTCAGTTTCAATAACAGGGCGACCTCATCGTTTTTGATCTCTGAAACCAGAATGCAAAGAATTGAAGGTGATTTAACCAGAAGATAATTGTTCTCAATTTTGTCAAATATTTCAGTATGTTCGCCTAGTCATATCTCGTAATAGATCGGTTGGATCACCTGCAAGACGATAATCCTCAACGTTGTCTCCTTTTATCACTACAATTTCCCAAGAGCCACCACCTTCCTATTTTACGAAAACAAAAAACAAACAAATAACTAAATTGCGATGAAACCAGAAAAAATAAAGAATAAGGCCATGCATGTCAGATGCGACAAGGATATGATGGAGTCTCTGATAGTTTGACACAGAAACGGATGTATTCTTTTTCAGACAGCATGAATATGACATGAAATGAGAAATATCTTTTCACGCCTTCTTTATACTGTCTGAGTCTATTTAACACTACATACATAGTCAAACATGTTAATCCTATATATCAAACATTCAAATTGTAGAGGGTGTAAATTGCGTCAAAACCTTTTCATTATCTTGACTGTGTGGCGTCTCCTGAATGACCAACGAAATACACTGACTTCCAAAGTTGAAATCTACCCAAAAGTCAATTATGCCACTATCCACCGGTTTATGAACCTATAAAAAAGAATATTTCTGTAGTTTACAACACTGTTACTGTTGCAATAAATTACTTGTTATGTGCTTCTTCTCAATCAGCAACAACAAAAAATATACGAAGCACGCCTACAAAACACTAAAGATTACACCCTCCATGAGTTTGCATTGTGCAGAAGTATTAGAACTAAAAGCCGTTTATATCACTATATACCTCTGATGTACCAAACGTAGCTGAATAACAGGGAAGTGGCATCACACTAAAGAAAATACAAAGGAGATACATGTTTTGGATATTGTAATGTGTGCAGTACTAAAAGTCTCATAAAAGAATACTTTAAATGTCAATGCATTAAGCACATATACTAAAGTACAACAATATTGAGAACACTGATTTTAGATCTACTCAGTACTGAAGGCACTGGGACAAGGGCAAGGTCTTTTCACATGGATATCTAACCCAAGCAAAGCCTTTTTGAGGGAAAAGCCAGTACCTTCATTTTTTTCCCAGTAAGTTTAAGACCCTTGCAGCAGCACGTAGCATCTGGTGACTAACTGTTGACTAACTATTGACTCTGGATAACAAAAGACTACTGCAAGACTGATTAAATTGGAATATTGCAGGTTTATTACTTCTGCACAGAGAGAACAGCCTTTAACGGTGATAATCTCAGCAAGAAAAGTTAACATATTTGGCAACTGCAACTTGTACCTGTCGGATGATTGCCAAGGTCATCACAATAGAAACTAATCTGCCATAGTCAACAAACTAGCTATTTTGGCATCATGACTGAAGAAAATAAGATGGCTTTCTTTCTAAAAACAAGCATCAAAACTGGGTAAAGTATGCCAGAATGGGATAGTGGTAAACCAATGTACTTTGAGTGAATGGCTAAAATATCCAAAATTCACCTCAAAAGTTTCCTAAATGCTCATAATCATAACTTTTTGTTTGAAAAGATACTCAACACATATAATTAAATGACCTTTGCACTCAAGTATATAACCCTGTCCTGGAAATAAAAAGAAAATTCTACTAAATACCTTTGATGATTCTGATTGAGAGTGTTAATAAAGTTGCGACAGCCCTAAAGTAAGCAAGAACAAAAAAACTTGTAAATCAGACATTTTTAAAAGTAATTTTATAATAATTTAGTATACTTAGGTCTATCATTAAGGGCTGGGGGCTGGGAATTATCCTCAGGTGCTCTGAGAATGATCCCTGGTTACTTTATTAAGAAACACAAGGAAAATATATAGAACCAAAAAGGGCCCCATGGCTGTTTCCCTGCTCAACAATTGCATTTACCCATCAACTTGCAATCATAGTTACAGCCCTGATATTAACAGTTAGTGTACACATGTATGATTATACGAGTCAATTGAGGCATTTTTGAAATTCATATCAGACTGGAATTGCTCAATCTATATTTATTTCACTTCACAAACCTACTTCACATTAAAGAATTACCCTTGTAAATACATTCATTTTTTACTCACTGCTTCAAATTCTTCATTGAGGATATCACTAAAAGCCTGAGATACTGAGTCAATGCGGAAATATTCCTTGGCCTTTGCTTGCCTGATATCACATGGAATTAGGCGAAAGACAAGTTCCACAAATGCTGCTTGAAATTCAAAATCTGCAGAATAAAAGTATTATGCCAATAAACTGAGAAGGAAAAAGATTTATTTTTTCTCCCTGGTAGAATACCTAAAAAAGAGACTCTTCCTAGAACTTTCATTCTTTTGCATTTTGTCCATTGATCTTTATACAATAGTTAAATTCTAAAACATAAAGTGATGAGGAAAGCATCAACATTGAATGTTAATACTTACCACCTGCTGAGACAAGCATATCTTCCATTCTATTTTCTCTAGAGAAAGTAATTTACGGCATAAGTTTTGTCTTTGTTTGGAAATGTGACTGAAATATGAGTATTTGGCTTGAGCCTTCAAACCAGAAGGCTACATTAATGCAATGCTGACACTTGATAATACGTTCTAAGTTAAGGGGATGAAAAGGTGTGATAAAAATGTTCATCTAGGTCAGTTATCAAACACAACTTAACTCCATGTGCACTCAAAGCTCTCTCTTAAAGGACAAATTTGAAAGAAGGAGGCTTTACTAGAGGCCACACCTTAATAAAACGCAAAGCACAGTGACAATATTTCAATGATATCCACCTCAGGAGGTCTTATTTTATGCTGTACTTCTTTTTGATAATGACTGTGCTGGGTTCTAATGTTCTGTTTCAGGGATAAGTTAATGGATATAAATTACTGAAAAGTCAAAAGTCAGTTTCTTGAAAACTTACAGTGTTAGGAAAGAGGGAAATTTAAATATATATGTATATATACATCTCTTCCTTAATGATTGATGGTGATAGTAGGAATAAGTACTTTTCTTTATCACTGTAAGTTTCTTAAAACTTAACAGTTATATTGACTGATATCCAGTATCAGTTTTTCTCTTTCTTAACACTGTAAGTATAGTCCTTAATTGTTAGTGGTGGTATCTTAGTTGTGGCACTCTACTGAATAGTGCTGTACAGTGGAACCAGGTTAATAATTGGACATGAAAGGGACATGCCATATAATGTCCGTATCACCTGGATGTCTGGCTGTCAGGAAGAAAGTCACAGAGACAGGTTTTATCCATATGAAGACTAAAGCTAACATGGTCTCAATCTGGAGTACCTTTTTAAGTCTTGTTCTTGAAAAACGACAATGGAATCTGGCTTTATATTGATACTTTTAGTTTGCGCCTCAGCCAGGTGGACTAAATGTTAGACCAGACCTTTGAAAGGTCATTTGCCATTTCTGTACACATTGTAAGGTTTCAACAGGTAAGATTTTCAGTCATTGACAGTGCACAGATCAACAGTGTCCATGAAGCTGGGTTGACAGTACATGGCACTTTGTGACTCTGTTTTTTCACATTATTATGAAGTAGTATATGATTTAAAATTTAAATAATTTTACAAACTATTTTTAAGTTGTTTAAAAAATAAACAAACATACATTTCTTCAACTGTAAAGTTAGGGTGCTCTTTTGGTTGATCCAGATCTTCAAGGATCAAATTTGTCAGCTTCAATATCTGAAAGTTCAATACATAATTAATAAAACTTTATTAATTGACCTAAATTGACCTGTTACCCAAAACAGCTTGAACAGACTTAAAAAAACTTACATCAAGTCTCAGAGGAAGGGTGGTCCTTTTATCACTCAAAATGATGATGGCTTGAATCAGGACTGGAAGCATTTCAAACAACTTTGTCTTGCCTTGTATGAAAGTAAAATATATGTAACATGTAAAACAATTTTTCAAAAATTTCTTCCCTAAATTCTACACGCTAGTAAGCAAATGAGTAATTTATTGATCTAAATTAAGAGGGTTTTTCCAGGTTTTTTGTTGCCACTTAAACAAATATACAATTCAGTAATGAAAGCTTCAAATATCTTGTGCCTTGACAAGAAACAATGATTCAGGTTAATAGTTTTAAAAAGAACACAATAAAGCAATCTTTTGACACAGTTTAAAGGAAAAAATATGGATTGAATCTATTTTAAATTCTGTTGTCTCAGTGTATTGCTGTTTCCTTTCAGACTTTTTCTACCATGTCAGTCATGAACATGAAAATTGTAAATCAGGTACTGCTAATGCTTATTTACTAATAAAATAGGAACAAACTGGCAAGAAAACAATTTGTTACTGGCCAGCATATATTTCTCAAGCATTTTCAGAATTCATGCATTTAACAAAATTTAACATAAGAATATATTAATTCACCTACCAGTCAAAGTGTTTTCGCATAAAGCCTGTGAAAATATTAAAAACCAATATTATTTATCATTCAACAGTCAAGTACATACATCATTAAACGGACCGTACCGATCAATGAATTCTTTTTACGATGAATTCATGCAGGATGCATAATGTTATATGTACGTGCAACACATAAAAATTTAATTAGCTCAGATAATGGTCTGACCTTTAATAATTACAGTTGAGCCACTGCACTAGTGGTGCCAATACTTACATTCAGAAAACCTGTTAACGAAAGTAGTAGATCTACAGCATCTGGTATGCACACAACACCTTGTTCAAGAGATGCAGAATACACTTCAGGAAAGTAGCAAAAAGAAAACAACAAGCACATATACCAAAGGAACAAGTCATTAAAATCTAATTCTCACTTTAAAAGCATATAATTATTAGAACTTTAAACAGATAATAGTATTACGCATCAAATGGCAAAAAAAGGGAAATCTTTTTGCCAATTATTGAAATACATCAAGAGTCAAAGCTTTGAATGGTATGATTAAATGAAAGTCCAAGCCAAAGAGCTGGTCCAAAGTTGAGGTGTCTGGGTTGAGTTCTGTAAGTGCATCAGTTATATTCTTGAAACAAGCAGATAAGTAAGCTATGTGTCCTGAAGACAGTTCCTGCAAAAATGGATACTTATCAGTAACAAGAATAGGACCTGCACTAACTATGTTAGAGCTGAATTTTCACATTGGGGAGTTTTAGGGAGCTGAGTTCTTACGAAAACTTAGCATATGGTATATTTTGACCTAAATGATTTTAATGTTCATCTGTGGATTAGAAAAAAAGTTGATAATATTAACGTAATGAACAATATATAACAACACTGAGACCTGACATACAGGTTCATCATTATAATACTGGAGTTAAGTGAGCAATCAACTAACACAACACACCATACCATACATGTACCTACAGTGTAGCACATTTACCAGCACAATCAAATTTCACTTATCTATGGCATTGACTTAATTCTGGCAGACATCTGGGTTTAAACCATACACACTTAAACACAATACAGACAATATTGACATCAGATTATTCATCTATTTGAACTTGATACAGTTTCTTTTAAATGTCCCTTACCTGCCTGATATGTTCACAAAAGTCAAAGACTATTTTTCTCTCAGGATTCTCTAAAAGCTCTTTATAAATCTTTTTAAATTTATTCTGCAAAATAAGAAAGTAATAACTTTGGGTCAGTTTAAAGCACAAAACAACCTCCAATTAAAATAATCGAAGGTATAAATAATTTTTATCACTTAGGAAAATAGTAAAATCCTGTGGCATGGAGGGATAAAAGGGATGGTTATATGATGTTACATAAAAAGTGAATTGGGAGACTCAAAGTATAAACATTGGTTAAATAAATATTATGTGAAATAAAAGATAAAAAATGGTCTAATGTGATCTGTAAATATTTTATGAATGTTCTATGTCATGTAAGTCTCCTTCTAACCAAAGCTTACCATGATGAACATCCATTTACATTTTTCTTCCCCTGCTGGTCTTTATAACTTCAGGGCGGCAATTAGTATGTCCTAATTTTGTTGTCTTTGTTTTTCTACCTATATTTTGAAAATGGCATTCGGTAATTCAACTTTTAGGGAGCATTAATAACTGATAGTTGATGAAAAGTATTTAAGTTTAACTCACATAATTCAGGGTTACATGTAACTTAGCTATTAAATAGGTTAAATGTTTGTTTTGAACAAATTTTGATTAAAATCAATTCAGTCGAAGTGTAAGCTTTTCAAATGGGCAACACATAAGCTTAACCTTTTCCCAGAGAAGTTAAACGGCAGCGGCAACAACAACAACAACAACAACAACAACAACAACAAAGAGTGAAATAGTTTAAGATTAATTTAACATGTATTAATCCAAACAACTGTGGTAATGAGATGTTATAAATTTTTACACTTCATGATCATAAATGTAAATTCGTGAAACACTTTTATAGCAGAACCAAGTAAGCTTAGATTTTCACGTAATAAAATTGCTTCATGAAAACTTTTGTCTGCTAACTTATTTCACTTGTTTCTTATGTCCCTTTACTTCCGGATCCCTAACAGATGACATTCTTATATTATGGCACCGCTTACAAAAGTTTTGATTTGCTATCAGACATGATATGAACATCCCGGCCATGCCGGATCGATTTTTATCCACCGAATAATTGCAACAAATTATTTGGAGTAGTACATTACTTTACCGTGATTCTACAGGCAAATTTATTTGTACTTACCAGTCTTTTCTCCATAAGTAAGAAAAACGCTGTTTTCCCGACGATTTATTAAACTAAAAAGCTGATTTAGACCAAATTTATGGATCAAAGACGTGCGACAAACAACTGAGATCACGGACATGTACATGCTCGCAGGAGAATTTCCCGCCATACAATGGCATACCCATATTTGGAGAAACTCACTCCCAGGTCCCCCAAGAAAGGTCGTAGGAGGAAAACTGATGAACCCTTCTTTCCATGGACTGCAAGTTTTGACATCAGGCTCAGGGGCAGATCCAGGATTTTTCTTAGGAGGGGGTGCACTCGTCTCTTGCTCTACTTCAACACCAATAAACCACATAGTTTTTTTTTTTTTTTGCAGAATACCAGTTGTATTAGAAAACCGCAGGTCATCTCAGAGGGGTGCGCACCCCCTGCACCCTCCCCCTAGATCCGCCCCTGAGGCTTTTCACAATACTCGGATTTTTTAAATTTACGCTCCTCGTATTTTGTTGTCTTCGAAAGCACCGGCGACAAGAAACAATTTGACACCGAAAAATATCTGAATAATGAATGAAAATCAACGTAAAAAGGCTTAGCAAAATACATAATATCAATCCATGAGTTTTTCAGTTTAGGTCAATAGCGTCTAATTCTAAAAATGGAGTTAAATTTCATTTACTCACTCACTGCTCCAATGATTTATTCACTCAACGAAACTAGTAAACGCTGTTTGCAGTGAACAATGATCTAAACCGCAAATACCGAGCATACAAATTGATAAAATATAATCAGCATCGAATAACTTTCGGAGCACCATGCAGAAATTTTCATCAACAGGGTCAGTCTTTTATTTTTTAATTTGGGGATAACAGGAGCTATGACGACGAAAAATACAAGGTGAAGAACTATTGAAAAGATCGTATAACTATTAAACATATCGAAGAGGGAAAACAGGTCTCGCATCATCACCGCTCTTCGTATATAACTGACACATGCAAGGGTGATCCAAGCATACCATGAGAGTAGCCTGAATTTCATCCGATTACTTCGAGTCGTTATTACTCCCTCAGTTATTGAGAGGAGAAAACGACTCGAAGCAATCGGATGAATTTCAGGCTAACCATGAGAGCGGTGCAAAAGTAATTCGCCCAGAAAACCACTGACGCCAATTGTCTCCCATATACGTCAATTCGCCAGCTATGACAGTCGATTTCCAGTGGTCAAATCTCTCGTAGCGAATATTTCCGTGGGCGAAACAACCAATGCATGGCCCACCTAGTCTAAACGGTACCCCTAGAGCACTTTTTTTCGGTCCGGAAACAGGAAATTACAAAGTACAACGCCCAAAAGAAGTAAATATTTCACTTTTATCTTTCCTTTGCAAGCCAGGTACATCATTTTTTCTTTACAATCGACTATAATCTCTAAGTTTCCACCTATATAAAAGCATAAATATTATAATATTAGCCCAAGTGCCTGCGAAAGGCAGCATATTTTGTTAACAACTCCATATTTTTGTATTTTACATGTACTCGAGGCTATGAAATTCAGTTTGAAACAAGAAATATTACCCTATCTTGCTATAAATTATACTCTCAACATCTTTTTGAATACCTTCTAAATTTCAAAACATTTGAACGAGAGACCCCACCACAATAACCGCTATTGCTTGTTCTAGTACCCTCTACAGATCGATCTGCATCAAGTAATCAGGATGCTTGTTTCCAAGTCTCCAACTGTCAAGTGTTATCACTCGGCTTCATTTTGTTTCCACCTTGTTTTTATAAACTGTAGTGTTACGTTTGTTTCCAGATATCTATTCACCATTTGGTTAAGATCTTTCAGGTATGCAAAGTCGAAATTGCTTCCAGATTCTTTGGTCACGTATTTAATCCAAGTTTTCAGCTCTAAGGAAGAAATATTACAACTGTCACGTTGCATCACTATTGTCAGAATCGTCCTCTTCTTCTCCCGGTCGAGCGTCACTTTCCAAAGTTGCAAACTCCTCAAAATCTTGATCCTCTTCCAAATCCACGGGTTCAGGCCCCGCTCCATCAGGTTGCAGCAATCCTACATGAAAATAGTTTGTTAGTTTGCTGCATACTGTCCTCAAAGTCAGATCAGCTAGCCAGCAGTGCAAGTTTTTTTCGTGAGGTAGGGACATTCCAAGTGATAGCTTTACGGCCTCTCTGTTGATCGCACTTCCTATTACCCAATTTTTTTTCTTCTTAAACAATTAAAGATGGCGACTACACTTAGACAATAGTGAGCCACTGCTCGCCCCAAACGGGCTCAATATCAGACAGTGTTCATGTATCCTTTGTCTTATGATAGCCACTATGTTACTGACTGCGACGATTTCAAACACCTAGAGGCATTATTGTATTAAGTAACTGGCGCATTTCGATCCTAAATTATGGGTTTGCATCTCAAGAAGTTTCAAGAGTTTACACTCGATCAAGTTCAGGTTTCACCACTGCCCTTGCCATTTCAGTGGCTATGGCGGGCTTACATTAATTTCCATGCAAGTTAATGCCCGGGCAAAATCACGTACCTTTTCGTTTTGATCCACGAGCAACTTTAGCTAATTTACTGAATATTTTTTTCTTTCTTTTCTTCTGTTGATCTTTTGGTTGCTAAAACAATCATTGAAAATTACTATTAATATTTTAGAACGTTATATAAGAGGGTAACAGAGTTGGAACGTAGAAAAAATTTGAACTTAAATTCATTCTAAAAGAATTCTAGCTCAACTTACTCTTAGTCTCAGATCGTATGCAAAGAAAGCGAAACGAACTGAACTAGCTTCTACCAACCCGAACGGAGCCATATCATTTCACTATCCACACAACGTACACACTACTAAAACACTTCAAAACCAATTCGTTAGCTTTGACACAAACATAGGAGTTCCGTTTCGTGAGTAATGAAGAAACTAGTATAGTATTCATCCCTCTATCAAAGTATTTTGTCACCACGCGTTTTTGCACGTTTACACCTGGTTGAAGACATATATTGTGTTGCAACGTTCACTGCTACGGCAGAACTGTGTACGATCATAAATAGAGCTGTGATACAACGCTCTGTGTGAGGAACAAACTTTCCATGTGAAGGATTGGAGCGATTCTCTACTTAAACAAGGGATACAGTTAGAACCCATGTATAAGAACCTAGATTTTTCCAACTTAGCCTAAATAGGTTCTTATAGAAATGGTATTTAGTGGGATTTTAGGCTACTTAGGTACTTAAATAGGTTCTTAATTTGAAAGGGGCACCAGCGATCAGCACCGATAACTCCTACAGCGCATATGTGATACGGAATACACTGTATGTTGCTGTATTAAATAATTATCTAGAGCACAATTTAGATGATAACCATGCAGTAATTTTATCTTTCCAAAGTACTAGCATGCATATCTTTCACGCTGCAGTATCCTTAAAATGCTGTGTTACATTTTGAATCTTTCTGACTGAAACCTAGACTTAATTTTCGGCTGTATTTTCTTCTCTGTCTTCATTTTTGTAAAATAAGAACCTATTGAAAGTTTTAGGCTAAATAGGTTCTTACGAAAAGGGAGTTTAACATGAAAATTTTAGCCGAACAGGTTCTTAAATTTTAGGTCATTCTTATATGTGTGTTCTTACTGTATTTGCTACCGAAATTAAAGAACGACCCTTTCTTCCTATGAGATAACTCTTGCACACTTAAATAAAATAGGCTATAGCTGGTTGAAAAATGATTTAGCTAACTCACAAAGCCTCCCAGTAACATCCGTGCCTTGTCTTCCTCTCTAAAGGAAAACGGGAAAATGTAAATGACAACATAGCAGCTAACAGGTATAAATCTGGTGGGAGCATGGGGCGAGAAGGACTCAGTGAATCAAAGGACCCCACCAAGAGAGTTGGGTCTCGGCTGATCGACAGGGGAGGGGAGGTAGAGAATAATGTCACTTCACATTTCCCTGTAACGGTATCCTAACTTTCATCACCTTCCACTCTTGAGCCGCACTAGTTTCACTAGCGAAGATGAGTGAGAGTAGGAGTTCAGTGGTGAATCAAGGGGAGGGTCTCTTGCCACCCTTATTTTGAGACCAGGCTGAGGCCTGAACGGCCGAACAAAATTTTTTTTGAGACCAAACCCTCTCCCACTCCTCCCTTATCTGAAGGTCTGGATCCGCCACTGGAGTCGTAACCAGAAGCGTAGGGCCTTACGATCTAGTGATTCCGGCGTTCTGATGACTTTATAGTCTACTAATTACATCCAGATTTATGAGGGATTTATTATTATCACTAGCTCATAAGCGATATTATGAATCCGCTTTTAAGTTGGAACGGCTTAAAAGCCGTTCCGACTCCAACGACTCCAACTCCGACTCTGAAGCCAAGAAGCCAAGACAGAGAAGCCTGTTCCAGGCGTTCAGATAGTAGAGCGCCAGCAAAAAATTGAGGAGGGAAAAATAGTCTCTCCTCGTTTTTTTTCTTTGTCAAGCTCCTTTTTCGCTCGCCGCTCACAATTTAACTCGTTCCCCACCTTCTGAACGCTTGGAATAGGCAAAAAACAGAGGAAAAGTATACTAGTCAAGTCACTTATCAGAAGTGAGAAGTCGAGCACCAAAACAGTGTAAACTAACTTGGCCTGAGACTTGGATTCCTTGGTTTCGGCACCGTGTCCGCCTGCAAGATGAAGCTTCTCTTTAATGGCCTACAAAATAAAAGACAAACGGCAGGATTAGCTCAGTCGGTAGAGCGATTGACTGCAGAGCGGGAGGTCACGGGTTCGATTCCCGGGGCCGCACTAATACTCAGGGTACTTAGAAATGAAGCTACTACCTTTGCCATGCGTGCAAACGGCTACACTTCCGCGTGGCTTGGATAACCACATAAAATGGCGGTCCCGTCTCCAGTAGGAGAGGTAAAAATAGTGTCCTCAATAAGTACTTTCGCGCTAAATGCATTGACCCTCCAATAAAGTAAGTGCATTTTCAAAATACTTTCCGAACCATTCCAGGTTTTATAATACTTTAAACATACACATCACTAATTACATCAACTAATGTTCATTTCTTTTAAGGTCATCCTCAACCCCTTCGCGAAGTCACTATAATTCATATATGTTCAAAGAAACGTTTTCCGACTTCTTCCTTTTCTTTTCACCACATAAGTATCGGAACTGTTGTAAAAACTCTTATCAATGTGTTTGTATGAAAACAGGATATGCAATATCACAAAACAAAGAAAAACGAGATTAATAGAGTAGAACTGACAGTCACCTCATCTTTACGGCCACTTGCTTTTGAGCCGATGTGTACATTGACTCTTGTTTTAATTTAGCCTACATGGGTATGACAGGCGCAAGAAGGGGAGAGGTGGGGAGGGAAGAAAAACTCGAAAGGGAAACGAGGGAATGGGAGCGCCTGCTGTTAGCCCACCCTCCACCGCTTTCGACGCCTGCCAAGCAGGCTACTTTTCATCTCTCCTTAACGGCTACCTCCCTAAAAAGGCTAGTTATCGCTGTCCCGAAAGTGGCTGTGGTGGAGAGGCCGAGTGTGCGAAAGTGCGAGAAAATGATTTTCGATTCGTTTTCTACTAGGAGTTTGCTTTGGTTTTAAATTTCTGCTCTCTAAGATTTGTTATGAAAACTCACGCCAATTTTCTAACACGCGTGAAACTGGAAACTATCCTAAACTATTCGCAACTGTTGAGCTGTAGGCCTGACCTGTGATACCAGCACATCTTTACAGTCTCTCTTCATGGCCATCAGCAGATCATGCCATGTCCACGTACGGTTGTGATACTCCAGTGTTGGGATCACCAGACTAAAGTTATGCACGTCCATGATGTTCCGGTCTTTCTCACCCTGCCAAGATAGGAAAACAATTTTCAGCTTTAACTATTGCAAAATGACCCAAAACACAGGAGATGAGGAGTGTGCCTGTTGTGGCTTCTTTCTTGCAAGGTTTTAGTCAGTATTGTAGATCCAGATCAGAAGGCAACAAAATCAAACAAGTAGCCTGCGTAGCTATAGTGAGATCAGAGTAAGGAAGTGCTTTCCAGCGGTGCAAGGAGCCAACTAGGAATTTTCTGCCTGCGGCCTTACTGCTAAAACAAAAGCACTCGTGTAATAAGGCACTATTGCGCGCTACATTCTGCCTGCTAAGAAGGCTAACAAATAATTCACCATCGCTAACTAAGTTCTAAGCTCGAATATACCTACCTTCATAACGAATAAATAAATGCAATCTCAGCATTTCCCGATATGCTTCCACTGACAGAAATTTAGAGAAGCACTAAAAAGAGCTGTTTACTTCTTCTTGCATCCTGAACATTGAACATTGGAGTAAAACAAGAATCGAAGAGAAAAGTGAAACACAAACCTTGTAGCTCACAAGTAAGGACACTTCAGGGATCTTTACGTAGATGAAAGTGTTATTTTTAGAAGCTCGTTCCTGCAAGATTAAATGAAAGCCACGGTAAGTGCTTACTGAGTCACAGGGATCTGCATAATGTTTCTCAATTATCAGACCGTTTACTGATACATAGAAATTTTGAACCCCTCTCCCCGGAACAAAGACACAAAAGGATCTTGCTGAAGTTCGTTGTGTATTTATGTAAGATGGTAGTGCAAATCTCACAAGTATCGCAACAGGACTGTACAACCTGGAACTTTGCAAGTTTTGCTACACTACACTGAACTTTAGCTAAATCCATGATGAATACACAAAACGCCAAAAATTTAGATTTAATGACGAAGGACTGTGTTTGTTAAAAACCTCACATTCATAAAAGGAAAGAAATCTCACCTTCATTTTGTCTAAGTCATCATAGTCACTAATTCGTTTGTAGAATGTACTTTTCTTCTTTGCCTGCCGCCGGAAAAGAAAATAAGCGCAAAAGTACGTTCAAGATAACAAAATATGAAGAGCAATCAATAGCCGTGAAGTATGTGGAGTTGAGAGCCAAATTTCCTGTGATAAGGATATTGACAACAGTTTATTTGTTGCCGGAGATCGTTCGCGAAATCAATGTTAAGTTAAATAGATTTAGCCGAGGCTAAGAACGAAGCTCCAATTATTTAAAAAACATTGCAATAAAAAAATCCAATGAGAGTTCAGCCTGCTATCAGTTGAAAACTGGAAACTTGTTAGCGGTAAACTTCACAAAAACACGTAACCTCGTTGGTTCGACACCTGAGCACGCGATACGGTCATATGATACCGGTCAACGGATACCCTGTTTTGAATACAACATGGATGTGCAATATGTACGGTCAGGTGACAAACAAAATTTCTTGGATGGACAGGAAAACAAATTTTCTTAACTATGGGGCTCCTTGGGCACGTGGACCTCCGCTATAAAGACTCTTTTTGGCTGCTCTGATATTGACATGTCATGTCATCCAAGAACCCAGAATGAGTTTGGAAAGAAGATTTTTGAACGCCTCAAATAAAGTCAGATTTTTTACTGACTCTTCACGACGGTTAACTCTTCATCGCACTTACTATACTTCCTCTTGTCCAAAAGAATAACTTTACTTTTGTTTTACTTCTCTGCATTGGCCACCAATAAACCTTGTTCCCAGGGTTACTTCTACTCGTCCCCGACGAGAGGAGAGAATCCTGGGTACAAGTTTGGTCAGTTAACTTTGCTGGTGCTGCCAAGGTGGCTGTTGTGAAGAGGCATACAATAAATAACAAACAGCACCAGAACACTAGTGTTGCTCCTAATTTGAAGCTTTATACAAAATGCTACGAAAGACTGTTTGACTGGGACGCAATGCTTAAAATTTTTTACCGGTTTTTCTTTGTTTGCTGGTGATGATGGAGGAGAATCTGTGACAGTCACGCCAGATTTGGATGAGGCAGTAGATAGAGAGCTTGGTGATCTCTTCAGTGAAACAGTTTTACCAGTGGGAGATAAAAGGTCCTGGAAAAACAAGATGAGCGAAAAAAATTTAGAAGTTATGGGTCAAAAATATGCAATCCTCAATACAATGGTAAACGTCCTTCGTCAACTAGAAATTCCCTGATGGAAACTGATTAAAGATGAACTGAGCTATACTTGAGCGTGGAGTGAGCACCAGTAAGTCACTCATTACCTCTTCTTCATATGTGAACAATTCCTTATCTTCAACTTCCATTCCTGTCAAAGGGTAAAAGACAAAATATTTTTACCATAAATGAAAACGTAAAGGCACGCAAAGATAACGAAATCCCTCTCGACACAGATTGTCATTTTCAGACTTATTTGTATAACGCGAGAGTCTATTGAAAGAACTGGGTGGCACATACCAAACAAACATAAGGACTGTATACCCTTGCAACAAAGTGAGACTAGTTATGAGCAGGACATTGCGTCTAAATATGCGATTGTGCTTACGCATGCCTTCTTACTAGAACCTAAAAATGTCTTTTCGAGACGAGTTATTTGTTGGTTTTAATCTTAAATGTGCTTAACGACCTCGTTCCCAGGACCTCTCCTCTTCCCTGCCCCTAGAGGAGGAGAGGCCCTGGGACAAAGTTGAATAGGCCATTTCCGAGTTCCCTCTGGCCTCTGTATAAAAACGAGTTTAAGTGCTCATCCTTTGATATGGAAATGATTCTTCATTGTTATGCAAATAAAACTCACTTTCACTAGAAAGGTTGTGTACTCGGCCTCACTATGAAAGTGAGGGTTTTTAGAACTCGGAAGTGGCCTGATAGTTGCCTGCGCATGACTTAGAAATCGCCGCCTATTGCGATGATCGTATCTAAAGGAAACTAAAAACACAGTGTAAAAGAAAAAAACCTGACTTAAAGTTAAAGAAAAAAAAAAAGGAACCTCGCTATAATGAATCTCTCGGTAACAAAGTCCTCCGTATAACGGACGATATTCTTTACCCCGTAAATAGTAAAATATAGAGAAAAGAACCCCGATATAGCGAGCATACTTTGCCAGTCCCTTGGCCCTCCGTTAAATCAAGGTTCCACTGAAACTACCTTTGACTGTACGCAAACTACCGTAATTGAATCAATTTAGACGAAATTTTCATCCCATATACTGTGAAGTTTCATCCGTGATTCCTCGTTGAAATAGTATTCAGTTTTGATGTAAGGCGACTCACCTCTGAAGCCAAGTTCCACCTCACCAACTTCACCCTCGTACTCATGTGCTCTTTGAGGAAAAAAGAACACCATAACCTTCTTGAACAAGCGGTGCGTTAAACGAACGGCCAGCGGACATACGTTTACTTCAAAATGTTCCTTCACTCCAATACCACCAACTACGAAGTGAAAAAAAGGCGTATCACACAAAAGTTTAAACTTTATAAGACATCAAGAAAGTTCTTTGGATACGACAAATCCGATGTGTTTGCCTGAATGATCACGTTTGATAGCAGCGAATGTCTCCCGTGACAAGGACACTGGCTGTAACCCTTGCTGACTACAAGCAGACTTTTAATCATTCATTGTTTTTCCGTGACTGATTGGTCAAAATGCCGTAGTTAATGTTTCATAACAAGCAAACGTTGCACAACACTACCAAATTGGCAAGATTTAGTCGTTCCTATAGTTTCTTAATTTTTGGACGACTGACGGCAAATCGGAAACCTAAGAACAATGAGCCAAACTAGGCTTTTACAAAGAAGATTTCATACCAAGTACAGTAAAAACCCGCGACTAAGAACCCGTTTAGCCTAGAATTTGAAACAAGTTCTTATGTTCTGAAGCAGGACTTCAAAATTCTGGAGGTCAATGCTTCAGTTCTTCTTCTTATGATTATTTTTACATAAGTTCTAATTTGGTATGCAGATTATATGCGAGGAATAAGCTGATAAAACCACTAAATACTCTTGGCTACAATGTATTTTTTTCTTCAGATAATAAGAACATAAATAGCCTAAATTTGTGCCAACAACCATTTACGTAAGAACCTGTTTAGGCTAATTTGGGAAAATGCACGTTCTTATTCGCGGGTTTTTACTGTGTTATTAACGGATCAACTCCCCTACCTGGAGGCCTCACTCGACTAAACAGCCTGACGGCTATGGCTCTATCCACGTGACCCTTAGCGCTGACGTCCAGTGGGCTCAAGGCATCCTGTATGCAATCGAAAAGTGAAGACCCGCGTCATGATTACGTACATAAATTGAAAAGTTCTCGCCTTTTGGTTTTAATGACTTGAGCAAACGTTAAGGGCTATCTATCACAGACAGCGTTAAACAAAAACGCAGTCTACTTGAATTCAACATTTTTCACTGTAATCAGTACCAAAAGAAGTCGCCCATTCAAAAACAAACAAAGAAAAAATTCCTAAAAGGCCTCACAAGAGACACCTAGCAGTATGCAAGATGGAGAAAGTAATAGATACGGCGGGCAAGCGCAGGGAACCCAAGCTCCCGGTAGGCGGCGTCTTGCTGACTACACAACACAATCATCATTACCTTGTAGATGCTGTTTGGCAAAAGGTTCCTGACGTGAAATTTTCCCAGTTCTAAACGGTGTTCCATTGTAGCACCACTAAGGGTCGTTTTCCTGTAACTAAATCAGATATACATAGTTTTTCAAAAAAAGGGTTGAGTCATCAAATGTTCTCTTCTCTTCTTTCTGACTCACTCTTCCTTTGAAAACAAATACGCGTTTGCCTAACGCGGATGAAATTACAAATACTAGATTGAAAATACTGCACTGAAAATTGTTCCCCTAAGTCTTTCAGAAAATGGCGATTTATTCAAGCTGCACAGTCTGGTTGACAGAATTTAGTATTTATCACCAATAATCCTGAACGCGCACAGGTTCCTTTCATTTCTTGGTTAGCAGGGTTTATTTATGGCAGCATAGATTGTAATAGAGGAAAAGGGAATTCTTCCCAGTGTATGTGCGAATTCTGCAAATATGCTGAGTCAAGTAATCCTCACGGAGATGCCGTCGATTAACGCATAGAACCCGGGAAAATATTCGTTCATGGCACTTTTCCTCTAACACTCCGATTCAATAACCAAACCAATCGTGACTCGCTCGCACTCGTATTTGCGCACTGACATAAATAGGCCATTTCCGAGTTACCCCAAGCCTCTGTTTCAAAGCGAGGCTAAGAGCAAAACCATTTCCGAGATCCAAACACTCTCACTTTCAAAACGAGGCTATGCTCAAAAGCTTTCTTGTGAAAATGAATTTTACGTCCATGAGAATAAAAACTCATTTTCAGATTCATGGCATCGCACTTAGCCTCACTTTGAAATGGAAGCGTCTGGCAACTAGGAAATGGCCTATTCTCATGCAATAAAACTCATTTTCATCGCCCAGTATCACGCGACATATCCGGGAACTTTAAGCGCACTCCAAGGGCCAAATCTGAAACGCTGATCAGCGAACTTAGGCCAAAACAAAGAAAAAACGGCCAAAACTGTTCAGAGTGGCTCACGTTTTTCACTTTTTTGCCTCAACTATAGAAAAATGTTTAGTGTCAGCATATGGATTTTGTAGAAGAGACGTTCATAAAAAATACCAGACCGCTGGTGACTTTGTAGACCTTGTAGAAGTTCTGGCTTTTTCGCTTTGAAAATCGGCTACTTTAGACACTTTTTTATATGGGAGGTCAGGTTTGAGGCTAAATATCTGTTCCGCAAGTCACTTTATTCATGCGTCAGCATATGGCTATGTTAGTTTGACCATTAAGGAAGACCCTCTGAAAGTTTGGTACGATTACGTTGTTGGGAAGTTCTGGCTTTTCGTCGATTTCGTCGATTTCGACAAGAAAGGTTTTGCGCTTAGCGTCTTTTTGAACGTGAGAGTTTTTGGAACTCGGAAATGGCCAATTCAGGCTTTAATTTTATTATCACTGGTAACCGATCTGAGCAAAAGGCGTGAAGAGAAAGCTATACCTGAAGTTAGTAAATGTTACATCCGCTATAGCTAACTGCCCGTCCTCCTGAGTGAGTTGCCAAGAGGCGTGATTGAAGTAAACTTCAGCCAATTTTGTGACCTCTGCAGTCGGAGCTGAAAACATAACCAGTCACAGATCACCCAGTACAGTGAGCAGACATTTTAACTATAGCTGTGTTACTACGGGACAGGAGGATGTCTGTTATTAAGAACACTATCGTTAATAACTAGACTGGGCTTGTTTACCATTTACAAAAAGGTTCCGGAAAAACTGGTTGGAAAGAAAATGGAACACGCCTTTTTGGGTCTTTCCAGGTGATGAATTTCCGAGAGCAACGGACCATCTGAAAAGATAGTCCTGTTTGTTCCGGACGGAATATTCCAAACGAAAAGCCATCTTTGATCCCAGTTTCAGGCCTTGGCGGCCGTTTTTCGGCAAATGGAACTGATTTGTACAAATGGTAAACGCGATTCCAAGACGAACTTAACCAGTTCTGAATTTTGCATACCATTTGCTCAAACCGTGGACCGACCGGTTTGCCCATGTAAATGGTTAACAACGGTCCAAAAGCGTCTCCTAAAATAGTCCCATACTGCAAATCAAGACAAAATGACCAACTTCTAGCTTCTCCCAATGATATTACTGCCTAATCAAACACGAAGGTCATGAAAAAAAAGGAGATGATTATCAGTGGTCAGGTGATAAGGTGACTTGATTGCAAAACTATTTCTCCTCCATTATATCAAAAGGAACGTATAGTGAACAGTGTAGAGAATATGCGAGTGGATAGTACAGCTTAAAGGCTTGATGTTGTCTTACCTTTTTCAGGAGTTGGTGTGTTGACATTCATCAAGAAGTCTTTGTATGCACTAATAGTGACAAAAAATGAAACCACAACTAAATGTCAACAGCAGCTGCTACACGTTTTAAAACGTGAGTATTTAAGTGTTTAATAGCTGTAAAGGGTCGAAAAAACGAGAACAACGTCAAGATTACACGAGATCTACCCGTTGAACGGCAAATCAATAGGGAGAGGAGAAGTCGTTACCTCACGTTGCCGTGGATCTCTCTCTGCCATGGTAGGAAAATTTCTGGATCTCTACAAACCATGGTCCTGCAAATATGGCAGGAAAAATGACTTTCCTGTGCATGATTGCACTCAGGAACAAAATGGAAGCCCATACTCTTCTTTCATCGTTCGACAATGCAAATGGTCGTCTCTGTCAAGAAAGATTGTAGAGATCCATGGTAACGTGACGTTACACTTCTTTTCTCTATAACAGCGAACTAACGTTAGACATTCCTGTTCTACACGACGATTAGTCGCTCCTTTCAATACCAACATTACATTAAGTTACTTACCTTATCCTTATTCGCAACTCAGAACTTGATGAACTCAGTAACTCTTTTTGTTTTTCAATTGTTCTTTCCAACTCAATGACAGCATCGGTCAACCTAAGTAAAATCAACATTTCATCAACATTTTCCAGTGGTACCTTTCACATACACAGTGATAATTGACTATAGAAACAAGAGAAAAAGCAAACAAACAAACAATCAGTAAGATATATGGCTGGTCAAAGGAGTTTTTAAATGGTTGCCGGTAGTAGATGGAAAAGCCAAGGTTATAACTACGTGTTTAAAACACAACATCCGCGAAAAACACAAAGTAAATACATGTAGTTACACCAAAGAGCGGAAAAAACATGTTAGAACAACTCACGTCGGGCATAACTTTGTCATACTTCAGTCAGAAACAAGCCAATGAAAACAATTTAACGGAAATTTCGAGACATCGATTAAAAACTGCTTTAAAACACAGGTATTAAAGAGAAGTCTTACTCCTGATCATCAATCGCTTGTTTTCTTAACAAGTTCACTTCATAAAGTTCTCGTTCCAGTCTTCGCATTTCCGTGTAGTTGGACCTAAAATAAAGACACATCATGGTGAGTACTTGACTTCACTGACTATTTTCAAATCCCCCATAATACACTCTGTTTGCCACCAAATTTTGCATAAACCATTGTATTCAAATGCTCCTGATCATCTGAGGGCAATGACATGCAAAATTTGGGGGGCAACAGAGTGTATTATGGAGGACTCGAAAATAGAGAATTGGCGAATCCTTGTTTACATTTTTTTGCCGCATTAACATATGCTTTACCCTGGGTGCCAGAGGCTTTTTTTATGCGCGGTTTCCGGTTTCGGACAAGTCTTAAAAAGTGACCCGCTCGTGTCTTCGGCCTGCGGCCGACGAAGCTCCTCGTCGCACGCGAGAAAAAATCTGTGGCCTGTACCCGGGATACATATGCTTATCATTACCTGATGAAAATAAAATCTCTCGATATGGAGTTCTAAAGTGATGACATCATAAAAATTAAATTTGTGAAATTATGGGATTTGTCAGGATATTCTAAAAGAACAACAACCAAGAGGCTTACTTGCCAAAAACTAGAATTTCAGGGGAAATTGTCTCTGAGATATTAGCCCAGTCTCCATACAGATCCTTCTAAATTTGACTCGGCACCTGATCTAATGAACTGAGTCAAATTTAGAAGGATTTGTATGGAGTCATCGGAGCATAACTGGGCTGACATCTCTGAGACAATTTGCCCCGAAATGCTAGTTTTTGGCGCAAGTAGGCCCCTTGGATGTTGTTCTTTCAGAATATCCTGACAAGTTCCATAATTTCACAAATTTATTTTTTTTATAACATCACACTTTAGAACTCTATTGAAAGGGAATAACAATTTCAGTTATTTCAGTTAACCTCTAAAAATTTGAGCCCGACGAAAAGTTTCGGAGAAATTCTCTTCGAAAAACCCAAATTCTACAAAGAATATATAAGCTCATTAACGTTTTTGCCACCCAAAAATTTCGCGGTTTTGATTCCTGCTATTTCCTTTGTTATTGATTGAGAAGAGCTGAAACTTGCACAAACAGCTTCTAAGCTCTCTAATATCCAATTTAAGCAAACGTCGAGGAAAGGCTAACACTAAGTTTTTCATATTTACCTGACCGTGTTCTGAAGTCTAAGAATTTGGGCTCTTTGATCTTCTGACGTGGAAAGACGCAAGTGAAATCTCATCCTCTGTAGTCTGTCAATCGCTTGCTGTTAAAAATTAAATTCGATAAACTCTATCGATTAATATTAAAGAAGATTCTTTTTATGGCAGATTTTTATGACAAGCTTCTCAGCAAAACACTACTTTTCGGTATAACACTAGTTTTAACTGCCCGCATCCCGAAACCGAACCAGCTAAAAACGTTCAGTAGAAGGAGGTAAGTGGCAAGGAAAGAGCCCACATATAAAATAACGAGTGCCCCAGCTTTCCCTAAACTCTATGTCGTTATTAGAGACTTTGAGCATCAGGTTTTTCATGGTTAACCTGAGGATGCCACAATCTTGCGGTCGCGATTGCAGTTTGCAGTCCACGTTTGAACGGCAGGAAGAACTTCCAACGGTAAGTGATTTACGGCAAGGTTTTTTTCCATTAAAAATTGTACAGCCTCATGTTTTAAGGCAAGAGATAGGTTTCCACACCCACCCGTGATGTGCCAGCGAGATTTTTGAAATCGAATCAATGATCAATGAATTCTTTATGATTTTCAGGCAATAAAAGTGAAGCACTGCGACTTGGCCAAACACAACATGGCGGCACTAAACAATGAACGTTTTACTGAAATTCGAAACCCTGTCAACGTGAAACTGCAAACGGGTAACCGCAAACTGCAGTTCGCGGTTTGCGATTTCCAAAGAAAAACCTGATGCTAAAGGTCTCTATTATGCTTAATGTAAAGCTCAAACGGCTGCTCACGTTTTCAAATCGATGCGTTTTTTGAATGAAAACGCTCAGCGTATTAGTGTGGACGGCAGGCCTAAACGGGGCGCTTATTAAATTTTTGGACCTTGAGAGTGGGCGCTTATTCGAGGTGGGCGCTTATTCGAGGCTGGGCGCTTATTAAATTTTCACCATTTTCAGCAAGTGAAGTATGTTTATTTTGCAACAAAACAATAAATGCTAATAACAAAACGCGAAGAAGTAACAAAGCAAGGTTTCTGTAAAATACTCTCAAGAAAACTCCGTCCTCGGGGAAGTCTCTTATTAGAATTTATTCACTCAAGTGGGTGGGGTGGGGGTGAGCGCTTATTTGAGTTTGATTGGGAGGAGGAGGGGGTGGGCGCTTATTAATTTTTTCTGCCTTTAGGATGGGCGCTTATTCGAGGTGGGCGCTAATTCGAGGTTGGGCGCTTATTCGAATAAATACGGTAAGCGTTTTCAAATAAAAACGTATTAGTTATTTCCCTCTTTTCTAGTCAATAAGTAATGGTAATAGGACTGAGTGGAGTACAATTCTGGGAGTAATCGGAGGAGTAATTTGGAATTGCGCGAGGCCGATTTGAAATTACGAACCCAATTACTCTCTGAATTGTACGACACGAAGTCCTGTTACCAATTAATTATGTCAATAACAAAATGAGAGAATCTCAGTCTTGGAATATTTATTAATGTAAGAGAAAGATTCCAAAGCATCTGAATAAAAGTCACTGGACCAGTTAGTTTCCTCCATTTTTCTTTTCCAGTTGAAGCTGGACAGCTTACCGGGTCACTATTTTTTCATTGATTTTGATTGGTTATCATGTGCTATGTAGTTACATTTCATTGGCTAGTGGCATTAGCCACTTGATTTTTATTGGTTCTTTAACTGTCCGATTTGACCTGTCCGATTGCAAGCTCATGGTAATCGAATAGTTTTGGAGTTACAATAGCAAAATAAGCTATAAATATGGGCTGTTAAGAACCAATCAGATTCAAGTTTTTTGTTATTGACACAATAACAAAGTCAGCTTTGACCCGCTTACCTTCTTTTTAGGTTCCGTGTACAAAACAGCATTGTGGACTATGTCAATGAGCATGGCGTATTGGGCCTGAAACATAATTGAAAACGAACGAATTTTCCAATTTTTTGCGAGTTTTATGTAACGCATGGTTAAGCGCGAACCTATTAAGACAAGAGGCACAATCTGGAACTTTCAAAATTAAATCAACAACCAACTGAAAATTTACCGTGGATCCGTTCGCATGTCACACCTGTCCTTAGAGTTTGGATTATTTTGGTGAAAATGATGAGATAAAAATTCATCCGAATCCAGAAAACGTTCCGTCGCGTCAGAAATGGTTAGTTTGAAACACAGCTGACAAGTCAGTCAAACTCGTGAGGCAAATTTTTCAACAATACGTTGACAACCGAAGTCAGACATCACACCAACCGAAAATAGGATATATCTTTAACTTTCTCTGAAAGCTATTAAAAAACATATTTCATCACAGCGATAGCGCGCTCTCCAAAGAGGGATTCATACAACGTACCGAGTTTGTAGAGATCTCCAGCAGCTTATGTCTGATGGTGAAAGTGTTCACAGCAGCGCTATCCTCTCGAAGGCGGCTACTGGAGGACGACGGGGGCTGAAATTGAATAAGAGAACACAAACTAATATTTATTTTCAAGTTTTGATATTATCAAAGGTCCAGTTCGGGAATATCCATCTCTAGAAAGAGCGCCTTGAAATTAGTTAACTTGCCACGTTTAAAAATAATACATTTGAAGGAGCAAAGATACACCTTTGCAAAGTCGCGAAATTTTGCAATCGTTTGCATGGTGGGGGACACAAACTTCCCCTCCACCATACAAACGTCTGGAAAATTTCGCGATTTCGCGGAGCTTTATCTTCCATTACTTTTCAACGAATAACTCTCAAGCACGGCAACTCTACAGCTGACTCTACTAGATCAGGCGCTATTTGCAGCGGTGTCGACGGATTTTCGTCAACTGGCCCATGACAAAACTTGAAAAAACCGTGGAATGGTCTAATAGCTAGATTTAGCCAAGGCCAAAAGCGAAGCTTTCGTGGGAACTTTTAAGAAATGTCTATCTGAAGTAAAGTTTTCTGAGCCTGCGATCACTTGAATACCATAACTGGTCAGTGAAGAACTTAAAAAACACGTCATCTCAATGATTTGTACACTGAACCCGCGATACAGTCATGTGACACTGTTCCACTTACCTCAATATTAGCAGCATGTTCCTCGGCAAGGGGATCTAAATCGGAGCTGAAACTTGCAAAATAAAATTCACAGCTACACCGCGCTACAATCCTCTGTAACTGTGTAGCTTCATGTCCAGGCCCCGCTCCGGTGGCATTTACCATTCCTCCAACAGCCTCTCCAGAGCCCACAATATTTGCCAGGTCGGCGATATCAAAAGAGTTCTTGTCAAGTCTCCCTGTTATTACAGACGTGCTCAGCCAAGGGCAACTGTCTAGACCGATCATATCGTCTGCACCGACTGTAGCAAAGTACTAAAGAAACAACACGAAAGGTATGTTAGACGCGGTTTTCGGTAAAGAGTCGAAGTCATTTCACTACGGAGTTACAGTCAAACCCCGCTTTCCGGACAGCTCATTATTACGGACAGTTTGCTTTGTTCACGGGGAAAGAAAGCCCTTACATTTTCTCTAAATTCAACCCGCTTAATACGGACACATTCTATGGTCCCCTCAGTGTCCATATTAAAAGGGTTTAACTGTAGTTTGGGTTCGGTTACAAAATTGAGACAAGTTCAAAAACTCTTCCAAAGCATATAAATTTCACATTTGCGACTTACGACAAGTTGTGCGCGGGGCAGTCGTAACTGGCGGGCGGTAAGTATTAATTTTAAGGAGGCACGCAAACAGCGAACTTAGCAGTTGCAACCTATCCTGCAAGTTACATAAGTCAGAAACATGTAAGTAAAATTACCTGTACGTTCTCTACGTTTCCAAACCAGGTGTTCTTGTTAAAAATCTCTCCTTTACTCCAGACAGGAATGTGAAGCCTGTTTAGAATTCTTGCATTACCAGCTGCTACAAGAACACAACCCTCAGACTCAATTCCCTTCAGAACAACCTGCGAGTTCACTAGTCCAACTGGTACGAAAAAGATAACGACCAAAAGAGAATCAGCAAGAAAGGAAAGACAAGAACATAAGAGAATTTCGAGTAATTTTATAGGAGAAAAACATATTCTTAAACCTGGGGGTTACACAAGTTGACTTTACCGCGGCTTACCGATAAATGTATTATAGTAACCTACAACAAAAGTCGGTCCGCAGACATTGTATTTTTTTTTATGAAGCAAACGTTTTTGCCCAGTCTCCATGTCACAATATAAAACAAATGTGAATGTAGAAACTTTTAACCAGCATTTCAAAAAGCATAACAGTAATGTAACCCTTGGCTTGATTACAAAATGACATGATATATCAGATCAGATATACAACACGTGATATCACTGCAAGCAAAACAAACACAGTATTCTCTTACTATGCCATCTGTCTTCGATGACGTCATTTGCTGTGCATAATGCCATCCCGTGGAGGTGGGCCTCTGTAACATATTCATGCTCACCGGTCCCCTAGCAAATAGCCGACAATGATCGTTAATAGAAGTCTGATAGTCCAAATTAGCTTTAGAAAAAGTAAAGTGTATGAACACCACACTATATTCACTTTACCTCTTCCGCAAACGCCACAAACTTCAATTCTTTTTCCATGACCAGCTTTTCCAGCATATTAGTGTAAGAAGCAGACCGGGCTTTGACTGAACTGTTGAGAGGCGAGCCAGTCTTGGTGTCATCCTAAAAAATACAAAACACATATCGTTCAATAGACCATTTTCAAGTTGGCCAAAGCCTTTACTACAAAGCGAGGCTAAGTGCGAAGTCGTTGAAATGAAAATGATTTTTATTATCATGGAAATAGAACTCATTTTCCGAAAAAAGGTTTACACCTAGCCCCGTTTTGAAAGTCAGAGTTTGTGGGAAATGGCCCATGCATTACAGCATCATAATTATTCGTATTCTAAGCTTGGTCTGGAACTACAACCAGTTGCAAAAGCACTTGAGACACTGTATCGTATTTTGGCTTAAATGGCCTGTCCATGATCTTGTGCTTGTGATCCCCCCTCCACCCAGCAATACAAAGACCATACTCAAAACCTGGAGAAACAACTTTGAATGGAAGGGAGAAGTGAGGTCAGTATTATATCTCACAGACCTGTGACTAGCAGTGATTTGAAGCAAGAAAGGTCGTTTTTTCGTCAGTGTCTCAACATTTTTGCAACTGGTTGAAGCTTACAGTCGAGGCTAATGCGCGTCACCGTACGGTAAATTGAACTTTTACTCGACTGATAGAGCAATGTCAATTTAATTTGGGACTCATAACAAGTTCCAAATCAACAAGGTGAAAAAGTTTTTTTCTTTCCCATGATGATAACCCCAACTAGCTGAAAGAAAACAAAGTTTGACATAGAGGTTTTTCAAAACTGCTTGTAAGAGGGAGGATAACTCGTTCAGTTATTCAAGCCTCATAATTAGTGTTAAAAATCCTGGTCAGGCGTAATGTTATTGCCACTGGTGTATCATACAGCAAATAACAAGGTCAAAAGTGCATACAGAAAGAAACGTGAAGAAAACCTATGCATTTAAAAAATATAGCACGCTAAAACCATAATTAGCTTCTCACATGATCTGGTCCCCCTTTAAAATTATAATTACTGCATAAAAGCGTAATGCATGAACCTGTTTGTTCTTCTCTTTTTTCTCTACTATCGCAAATTTCAAGGCATCTGCAGAGAGATTTTTCTTGAGAACCTGAAAAAGTTAAAAGAAACCGTTATACTTATATCAAAATTGGCAAATAAAAGGTTTTTAAAATCATTTTCAGTATGGAAACTATTCCCGGTGCTTCGCCGCTTTCGACCAATCAAAATTTAAAATCAAAATCAAGTTAAATTTGCTTCTATCAGTTGAGTTATGAGGATCAGTTGGCCGCCATAAAAGGCTTCAAAAGTTGACGATTCGAACGCTAGCAAATGGACAGAGCACTGTGTCGCGTTTGGAGCCAACTACTGATTTGTGAAGCTGTGATGATTACGACTGATCGCCTGCCTTAGGTGAGATCGACCAGACTGATGGACCCCGGGCTCCGGTTGTTCAAACGTTGGATAACATTATCCACCGGATAAATCACTATTCACTGGATAGATTTTTATCCGGTGGATAGCGCTATCCAGCGTTTGAACAACCGGGGCCTGATGTAAGGACTCTACACAAAAACTTTCCTCGTAATTAACCTCCGAATCAATCCAAACTTTGACCACTTTGTGTAGACACCCACCTGTGTATTGGTATAGGCTTCAAACAGACCAAATGCAATGCGGCGGTTCGTTAGTGTCCAGACTCCTTTAAGATCATGACACACCAGTCGATGATTATAATTCTACAAAGTTACAAAAGAACTTAAGTTAAATACACTTTCTTTACGATTATCTTTTAGAATAACAGAGCAACGTAAAAATCCGTAAGCAACAACTCACTCGTAACACAAAAGGTTTCACTGAGCCATCCTCGTGGCTGAATATCGTGAAAGATCAAAGTATTTCATGTGTACAGCATTGTTTGCCTCTGGACCGTTCATTAAGTGTTTTATGTTTCCCTTGTAATTACTTGCTTTCCAAACCTCCTCAGACGAGCACCAAGTGATAGCTAAAAGGCGCAATCTCTATCAGCCCCTTCCCATTTACTTGTCACTTGTTTTAAGGCCCTCCCCGCAGGATGCCTAAAACGCATAGAGCTAAGAGAGTTTTAACAGCTGATGATCCATCCAGTGACATTTTAGTGAGTGTAAAAATAACTAACAGCTTTACCCGTAAATCTGGAGACGGACCATCAACACCCATTTCTTGCTTTTTAGAGTTATCTTGTCGTGTGTACTCCAATCTATAAAAGTGCAAAAAATCAAGAGATAAACGGTCGGTTGCAAACTATAAAAGACAGCTCTTTCGCCGGCACGAAAACCATACGGGACAGGGCTTTGTTCACACACAAGAAGGGTGATTTCAGCGCGATTGCTGCAACGAAGCTGCGCAGCGCTGATCTCGAAAGTGTAGCGTTACATATCGGATACGTTCTGTGCCACACTTTGGTGCAGTGTGAACAAAGTCTGAACTGGTATTCGCGAGGACTGGACCTCACTTAAACGGAAGGAGTGAGGACTGGGAATTAGATAGATAGATAGATAGATAGATAGATAGATAGATAGATAGATAGATAGATAGATAGATAGATAGATAGATAGATAGATAGATAGATAGATAGATAGATAGATAGATAGATAGATAGATAGATAGATGCTTTATTGTCTTAATACCTTGCAGCCATAGGCTGAATTACGAAAGACATTACAATAAAAGGACATTACAATAAAGACATTACAATAATAAAAAAAAGTATATAAAATATAACAATAAAAAGGTAAAAAGTATAAAATTGCTACTATAACTAACTAATTAAACACTACTAAGCGCAGAAAACGTGACTAAAAATGAAAGATTTTTTGCATCGATTGGTCTTGCACAAAGGTAAGGCAAAGTTCCGATTCCTCCTTAGAAAGTAATTTGCTGGATTCTTGGAAGGAAGGAGTTTGTGAAGAGTGTGCCCGGGGTCACCCACGACTTCATTGAAGAGCTTTGATGAAATCTCTTCTCTCCTTTTAAAGAGGGTTGGCAAACCTGAAAATTCTAGGGCCTGATTGTATGACATACCGGGGTAAATAATTCGCAATGCACGTTTTTGCAGTCTCTCCAAACCAAACCCTTCTCGGCCAATCGTTCAGGCACGATGTTCGATGTGTGTGAACGACTTGTTCCAGTTCTATGCCGTGTTGCTGTTCATAATATACCCGATAGCTTTCCATGTCGGCACCAAATCTATCCGCCGGCTATACTGTAGACATAGCCCAAGTAACATTTTGATTTCAACCAATCAGTCTTTGGAACTTAAAGCAAATGTTTGCACCAATTTCACAGAAAGTGAACTTACCTTAAAAGCAACGGGGCAGAATGTATTTGCTTTCTCGAAGCAAATATACAAGAAGGAGAAAATAAAAATGAATGGGAATAGAGAAAATGGAGTTACACAGGGCAAAGTATGTCAAAACTGATGTGTTGTTAAACGGCGCTGCTCAGTTCACACAGAGCGTTGTAAAACTTACCTTGCTGCTGCTAGAAGGTAGTACTTCGTAGGCTCCAAGTCAATCGAACTCACCTAAATCAAAAAGACATGACAACAAAAACAGTAAAAAGAAATGAGACGCAGTCACGAAGGAACAGATAAGGGAAGGTAGGCGCCATTTACAAAAAATAAACCCAGTACTTTAAACATATAAGGTTTTATAGAGACATAGCAACAACAGTTGGGGGCAACTGCTTGAAAATCTTTCATTCCCAGAGCCTGCGTTCGCGTAGCAGACGCCAGTTATTTTTTTTACGAGCCGCGAGTGGCGCCACCTCTCCTTTCCTCCCCTCTCGCGCGCGTTTATACCCACCAGTTCTTAAGACGTATGGAGATTAGTCAGAACTGGCCGACCAGACTAGTTCACCCGTGAAAAGAATTCCACCGCTCTTAAAAGTACCTACTGTGGCGATGGATTTTTAGCAAAACTCTCGAAGAAGAGCCTATCTCAGTTTCAAAATGATCGATCCGGCCAGCCACTTCTGACTTTTGGTAAGCGTTTCTAACGTTCAAATGGTTTGTTGTGCAAGGTCGTTTGGGCGTTGGCATCGCCTCCTTCCTTATAAATTCGATGGGAGCGTTAAAGAACCTATAAACTACTGAACATCAAATAGCAGGAAGACCACAGAGATCAAGTGAACTTTAAAGGGGCGGAAAGCTCACTTATAAATATACTTTTTGTTTTTACTCTGCCCCGGTAGTGTGGTCTACCTTTCATGAACTGTGTTTGGGGTTGAGCTTCAGTTATCGGCAAATAAGTTATTATTGCCTAACAGCCAAACAATCCGACTCAGCCCCAAGGGTACCATTCCATTTTTGGGGAGGTAACAATAAAGAATGTATCTATTCCTTCATGAACGCAACAGAAAGTGTCTCTACCTCGGCATACTCGTCACTACTCTCCTCCTTTCCATCCACTTCCTCCAAGCCATACAAATGACACGTCACATTAGACACTTCACTGCGCAGCTTTGTCGCGCTCCAGTCCGCGGCCGGTCTTCGCAGCAGTCCATCACTGTACTGTTTAAGTGTCAAACGGTATGTCGTTTCCAAGAGACCACCTCCCAGTGACAGCTCAAATCCTCTCTGTTGCGTGAACGAGCCCCAGTACCACACGGTCAGTTCAGGAAACTGAAGTGAAAGGCTCACATGCCTAGAGTGAGCGCAAAATTCATTAGGGGTTGCACACACGCGTTTACCTACCTTAAGCATCAGGTACATGTACTTGTCTTCAGTTCCGCTTGCGAGCAATCTCTCCATTTGGGAGATAACGCGAGAAGTTAAGCGCGAGCGGACCCTTCTCTCACGACTCGAAATAGAGACGGCTCTCTTAATAAAATTCGACTTAGATGACAGGCCTGCCGAGGTTACCATAGCTACACAGCTATCAAATTCACCTACAGTCAACTCTATATAAGACGGACACCTTTGGACCCGCCCAAAAGGCGCTTTCCAAAAGTCAGAACTGGCTGGCCTTTTCTCCAAATTTTCACTAAAATCCCTCATTGCTGTGCCCACTATTCAGGAAGTAGACCGATCTGGCTGGATAGTCTATTCTACCTCTTTATGGCAGCCCCGCAAAATCGCCTTTCGGCAAGTCCAGTTTGTTATAACTGTAGTTTTGTTTTGTTTGTTTACATATTGTATTCCTACTTCTTGCCGTTAGCCCCAAGTGCTGCGAAAGGTTCTGCGATTCACGGTATTTCTAGTTAATAGAGGAATTCTCCTTACAACTGGACTGGTCTGGCCAGCCAGTGCTGACAAATGGCAAGCGCTCTGAGTGTTGTTCGTATCATGGTTACAGGGGCTACCCTTTCCACCGAAGTTTTTTTTTTTTTTACCCCCATTGCGCTTGCCGTCAATAAATCACCCGCGGTTTTTATTTCCATGCGCGCGCTCAGCGAACTCTAAAGCGAAAATAGAGGGTCTGTGAACAGGCTAGGCAAAGACCAACTCAAGGTGTCCGTTTAACGACGTTTTCCCTAAGAGTCGACTGTAACAACCTCTCTAATCGTAACGATTGCTGGTGAGTTTATAAAGAGCTTGCGCGAAAATAAAATCCTAGTTGGTTGTGGTATTATTGTGTGAGGCAGAGTAAATGAGTCAACAGCTTTCCCCTAATCACCCACCTGTAGTGTCTTCCCAGAGACCTCTTCTTCACTCGGTTACGCTTGAAAAAAGTTCCTCTTCTGATAGGCCTTGACACATATGTGAAGACCACAGCCTTGAGGCAAAAATATGAAATAATCAAGTTAGAGTCTATGGTATGAATACACCTGAACCAAGCAGATTGGTGCATTTATGAAACACGTTACCTGATATTTCTGAAACCATCTAAACGTGCTCGCAAACATGAACACTGTAGGTGGATCACTGAGGGACAGGTCCTATAAAGAGATGTGAAAGTTACCACTGGTTAAAATTGAATTATGTTTTGTTTCCCGGTAAGTCTGGTGGTCAATATAGGCCAACACTCAACTAAGCGAATTTGCGTCGTTTGCGCCGTACAAAACAGTATCAATGGTCGGCTGGCAGAGCATGTGAACCAGTTTTCCACACGTTGCTGCGATCTTTGGCAAGCGAAGCAACTTAGTTTGGCTGCACCATCCCTTCAATATCTCCCAAAAGGCACTGGACATACTGTAGATCTACAGCCTATGCGGTCTCCCTTGTTTCTTCTTGCCACGAGGTGAAATATAGAGCGCATAACCTTTCACCAGCTCACCATCTGACAGACGAGGTATGTGTCCCAGAAATGAGATTTGGCGGGTTCTCACCCTGACAGTTAGTTGGCGTGTATTAGTTAGGTTGTAGATGTCATGATCTCATTGGAAACTTTATGGGCTGCTTCGGGGGCATTAGACCGTAAAAATTGTACATCCTTAGGTAATTATCTCTGAGAAGATGGAAAAACAATAATTTAACTAAATATATACAAGATCGCAGAATATCCCGTTACAAACACAGCTGGTCTGGTCGTCGTCTCTTCCCGTGATTTGCACGGTGTCTTGTAACTCTAAGTATTGATGTCTCAAAATCCAGTATCTGCATGCATGTAACTGACTTATTTATTTCACAATACAGTAACGTTCTATGGTCGAAAACAAATGTCCTACCAAGCTACTTTGACGAACCTTTCGTTTGCTCATTCCTGTCGCCATTAAAATATCCACAATTAGATTCTGGGATCTGAATTTGGCGTACGAGTCATGCACCTAAGAAGCACGTTAAAATAATTAACTGACGGCAACAAACGAAAATTTGAATACACAGATCTGACACAATCATGGCAAAATTCGTTCTAAGAGACTTGAATCAGTGCTTAAAAGCTATCATCATCACCATCGTTGTCATCATCAACAACAGCATAATCATTATCAGCATCGCTATCACCATAAAAAATTCATCACCACATCATCAGCATCAATACCATCATCATCATCATCATCATCATCATCACCACCACCACCACCACCACCACCACCACTATAATCATCGGATCGAGTCCTTCCAAAAATGTTCTCCCCCAGGTTTCTACTTCTTCTAAATCCCAAGAATGGTCCTCAATATAAATAGCTCAGTTTTACAATCTAAAAAGTCATTTCAGCAAGATCAAAAGATAAATTAATTGCACAGCTCGGTGTTCATCTTTCCCCAGATGCTCACCTGGTTAGGCGCCAGTTCTGGTATTTTATCTGGGGCACATTGGATCACAGAGTGATGATCATTTGGATCTCCTTGACAAATCCACTTCATGTTAGTACTACGAACAACACACAGAACTTCAATCAGATATTACAGTCAGTTGGATATTAAAGCTAGTCGAAGTGAAGTGTTTTGGGTTCTCAGTTTCTAGAACACAAAAAATATCGGAAAAAATTCCTGTAATTTTCTCCAAAGAACTTAAAGAAGAAATGAAGTTATTTTATTTATTTGCTTTCTGTCTTTACTGTTCAATCACAGGCGGTCAAATACAGAATCTCGCCTTCAGATCCTTAAAATGCCTGTGATGACAGGACGGCGCAAACCTTCCTCACTTGCAACCAAAAGCTGATTGGCGGA